TAGGTGTTTCCTCAAAACTCTACAAGTTTATGTTTTTATGTGCATAGAAAAACATATAACAAAGTTAAAGTGTAAACTCTGTATCTTTTGTTCTTCCATAGTGAACATGCATCATTTTTGTCCCAAGAAAATATTATTAAAATGAAAAAAAGTTTTTCCTTTGTAAAATGAGGATCAGAATATCTTCACTTTCCTCCTGCAAGAGAAACAGGCTGGCTTGGCCTTTTGTATCCCACTCCTGCCCATTGCTTTATTTCACAAAGCAATTTGTTAGAACAGTTTAAGGCCTCTTTTGAAAGGCATTCAGTTTTATTTTGACCTCTTGAGAGGGAATTTAGAGGAGAAATGAACATTTTAATGGGTGAATAGCGTATGGATTTAGCTATACTTTCTAGTGGGTGAAGCCTCAGGTGCTTTGTCCAGCCCAGGTCATCAGAATTTTCTGCATTGTGTGTAGTTCTAGACCACAGATTACATTGCTTTCCGTTAATAGGTGTTTACCTTAAGAGTAGCAATTTGTCAAGGAATAGAGATCTTGCGTTTCTAGGATCTCTAGCCTTAATACCATTTAAGAGTACACCATCCTGCCAGGTGCAGTGGCTCATGCCTGTAATCCTAGCACTTTGGGAGGCGGAGGTGGGCGGATCACTTGAGGTCAGGAGTTCAAGACCAGCCTGGCCAACATGGTGAAACCCCATGTCTACTAAAAATACAAGAAGTAGCTGGGGTGTGGTGGCACGTGCCTGTAGTCCCAGCTACTCAGGAGGCTGAGGCGGGAGAATCTCTTGAACCCAGGAGGCAGAGGTTGCAGTGAACCGAGACTGCGCCACTGTGCTGCAGTCTGGGCGACAGAGTGAGACTTTGTCTCAAAAAAAACAAAAAAAGAGTACTCCATTCTACCTGTTTCCTGCCCCCTCTGTCTTACAGATTCAAGACCTTATTGTAACATTCACCATGAGATTAAGGTAGATAAACTTGGAGTTACAAAGAAATACCTTCTCATCTAAATGAAATCAGGGTGGTCTTCGTTTGCACGTAACTTTTAATTTGCACCTAAACAATTGATAGTTTTTACATGAATTAGATGCTTTGCTTGGCATTGCATATAAGTGGTGAAACATTTTATTTCACCTGATAACCTGACTCAACTGTAGTTCAAGAGTATCCTTGATAAATAATTGGATATATTAAGAATTCTCAGAAGGAACTACTCAGTGGGTTAATTAATGCAGTTCTCTGGGGGTTATATTCTCTGGCCAACTTAGAGTAGCTGTTCTATAGCTATTTTCCCACAAGTTCAGATGAAGTATTTAGTATGGCAAATCAAATTCCATCCTGCCTGGCTTTTAGTCAAATAAGTCAGACCCTACATAATCCTATTTATAGGGTCTTAGTTCTGGCTGCTGTAACAAGCTACAACAAACTGGGTGGCTTGTAAACAACAAACATTTATTTTTCAACATTCTTGAAGGCTGAGAAGTCAAAGATCATGACTCTGGCATATAAGGTGTCCAGTGAGAGCCTTCTTCCTCATTCATAGATAGAGGTCTTGTGTACTCACAAAGCAGAAGGGGCAAGGGATCTCACCAAGGCCTCTCTTATAAGGGCACTAATCCCATTCACAGTGGCCTTTCCCTCATGAGCTAATCACCTCCCAAAGGCTCCATCTCCTAATACTATCACCTTGGGGGTTAGGATTTCAACTTAGGGATTTGGGGAGTGGGGGTAGAGAGGGATACATCTATACTATAGCATATACCCAACAAATACTTAAGCAGCTGAAAGCACTGCTGCTGTATGTTTCTGTGCCAGTTTTGTGATCTTTGTAAGAAATGTATTAATGTTTTCCCATATGGCCAAAAGGTCTGAAGTATATTCATCTGAGATGTAACTTCTGTTTCTTTCTGCTTTTAGCCTCGTGCATCCTTTTTCCAAAATGCATTCATCATTAGATGTTTCTAAATTATCCAGTTGTCTGTTTTTAAATTTTTTATTACAAAAGTAATATAGATTGATTACAGAAAACTTGCAATACAGACAAGCACAGAAGAAAATAAAAATCACCTGTGTACTCTTATCACGTGAAAATTTGACTTAAAAAATTAAAATCATTCTGGTTCTTAGTTTGTGACCTGCTTTTTTTCCTCTTATGCATTGTTAACGTGCCACATTATTAAATATTCTAATGCAACATAATTTTAACTGATGGTATGATGTCCGTAATTTAACTTATAGCCTAAGTTGGGCATTTGCTCTATATTCAGTTTTTGCTATTAAAAATAACCTTATGATGAAAATCTTGCTCAAGTATGCGCACATCTCTGTTACTCCACAGGATAAATTTCTAGAAGAGCCATCACTGATTGAAAGGAATGTTTACTTTTAATGGCTTATCCTCTATGTGGCTAGGCTGTCATCCATAAGAATTGTTTCATTTGACACTCTCATAGATTGTGTGTGTGCTCCTTTCCTTGTACCTTTGCTGTTACTCCGTACAAATGGACAGTTTCCTTCAGAGATCCCTCCCCACTCACCTGCATTGCCTTTGATACCTTCAGGCATCCTTTTGTGACACTCGGGGGAGGGATGTTTAAACATATTTTTAATTGACGAGTAAAAATTTTATGTATGGTACACAACTTGATGTTTTGATGTATGTATACATTGTGGAATGGCTAAATCAAGCTGTTTGACATGTATTACCTCACATACTTGTCATTTTTTTGTGATGAGAACACTTACAATTTACTCTTAATTTTCAAATACAAAATATATTTTTAAGTGTAGTCAACATGATACACAATAGATCTTCTGAACTTACTCCTCCTAACTGAAATTTTGTGTCCTTTGGCCAATGCCTTCTCAGTCCTCCCACCCCTTAGTGTCTGGTAACCATCATTTTACTCTGTGTCTACAAGTTTGACTTTCATGCACTTCCCATATAAGTAAGATCATGTGTACTGTGGGTTTTTTTCATTATAATAATTGTAATTACATATATTTATGATCAGTTCAGGTCTACCTCTGCAAGTTCCATGAGGACAGGGACCGTATCTAGTTTATTTACCTCTGTATATCCAGCACTTAATACGGTGTGAAGCACATAGTATGATCTCAGTGCATATTTGTTGAATGAATAAGTGGGTATTTTTAGAATTTTATATTTTGATGGGCAAATAACTGTATCTGTTAATGTGTATTTATTTGAGGTTCAGCTTTATGCTTTAATTTGCTACTTAGTCTTCTATTTTATTGCCTATTCATGTTTTGGTTCATTTTTCTGAAAAGTATATCTTTTTGATTCAAAGCTCTTTCTCTTCTGTGGTTCTATAAGCTCTTATCTGAATATAGTGTATTTTGTTACTTTCCATCTTCATTTTCTAGTTCTATCTCATTAACTTGATTTATTTCCCATTCTTCATGTTTGATGTACAGGCATCTGACACTAAAAGCATTGTTGAAATCACTGATTACCTCCCAATCTTACTTTTCCCTTCCACATTTAACTTCTGCCCTCTATGATTATAGATATCCCCAACTTTTCCTGGGCTTTAAAAAATCTCCACTGCATTCAGTTTAAAGTCACCTTAATTTAGACATTTTGCTTGAGATAAACTTTTTTACTTTTTTCAGAAGCATTCTATTCCCAGCTAAAAGCTCATCATTTTGCTCATCATTTTGCTATCTTAAACCTGAGATTGGCAAATATCTCCTCTTACAGACTACATAGTAAATATTTGAGGCTTTGCAGGCTAAATGTTCTCTGCATCTACTAAACACTGTCCTTACAGCGCAAGAGCAGCCATGGGCAATACATGAATGAGTGAATATGATTGTGTTCTAATAAAACTATGGACACTGAAATTTGAATTTCATATAATTTTCACGTCACCAAATAATACCTTTTCCCACAGCCATTTAAAAATATAACCATTCTTAGCTTATGGGAAGCACAAAAAGAGGCCATAATTTGCTAACCTTTGTCATAAACCATGATCCAGAGAGACACATCAAGTCTGTAATCACCATCCTGCCATTTACCTCCCAGTTTTCCAAACTTTTAGAATTGATTAAAAAATAACAAAAGCCTCTCTGTTCCATGGTACTTTTGTTTCCTACACAGAATTTGAGGTCCTTGAGGCTGTTTCTGGTCTCATCATTCATCCCTGTAGAATCAGCGATTCCTTCCTCTCTATTGTCTTTCCTAATTTCTGTGGATTCCACCTTTGTCATATCCCTTCTTTTTCTATTCTCTCCCAGCACCCCAGTTAAAACTCTTGCCTAGAGAGTTGCAGTGGTTTCCTAACTGGTTGTTCACCCATCCAATCTAATTTTCTGTTGCCAGATTACAGTTCTGATAATCTCTCTCCCTTGCTAAAAATCTCTAGTATCAGTATCTCTGTTTTTGCCTGTATAACCAAGAAAAACTTCTTAGCTTGGCATTTAAGGTATTCTGTAATAGGACATTAATCTACCTTTCTAGTTTTTCTTTCACTATTTCCCTAATGCCTTAGGCAAACTATTTTATTCAATTTTCTTTATGAAGTTCCTTCTACCTTCAGTGTTCTCTCTACCATGTCTGTCTGCAGAATTCTCTCCACCCTGCAAGGTCCTTACAAAAGGAAGCCTTCTGTGTATTTACAGCTTAATGGTACTTACAGCCTTAGGTTATAGATGTTTGTGCGTTGATCTCATTTTCCTACGTAATTGTAAGTGCCTTGAGAGGAATTACACCGTCAAAGATAATCATCTTTCGTCCCTGAAACACCTAGCACAGTGATAATTTAATACGTTATTGTTATCGAATCTGCAAATGGCGGGAGAACCTTGGGATGGAAAGATCAGTTATCTTTAGAAAGATTATCTTACTGATCACTGGGAGACCTTTAGGAAATTATCGCATGGCAACTACAGAAGAAATGAGAATCTAAGACTAAGGGCTAGGACCTTTTGTTAAAGCTAATGATGTAATCATAGGTATCTAATCCTCTCTTTCCCAGACCCATGGAAATGCCCAAGAAAATGTGAAAATAGGGGAAAACCCTCAGAAGCTTGATAGGGAGCCATGCACTTGCCAAAACTTGGAGGGGTTTCCGCTGAATGCTGTGCCAATGATATTGGATGAAAAGAAGAGTAGTCAGTGCCAGAGGGAGAATCCTGCAATGGTAAGCGCTGCTTGCCAGGGGAGCAGGCAAGGGCCATGCTCACACCATGTGCCACACATTATGTTATGCACTCTTTGTGCCTCATCACATTTAGTTTTCTTGTCAGCCTTGTGAGAGATGGAGATTGTCTTCATTTTTCGAGTGAAGAAACTGAGACCTAAAAGGGCACACAGTTTGTAAGTTATGTCAGGCCAAGTAAGAGTAAGAAGAAAGACCAAAAGAAACAGTTGAGAAGGAAAAAGTATTAATAGTGATTATGTCTGGGTGGTAGGATTTTAGGTAATTGGTATTTTTCTTTATATCTTTGTGACTTAACTTTTTTTTTTTTTTTTTATTCAGTTATCAACTTTAGTGTCGACTGAGCATAACTCCACAATCTTTCACTCTGCTTTAGTTCTCCTGCTGTGGCTCTTCACTGGACCTTGGCTAAATGGATATTCTCCCTGCTACTTTCTGATCACATCCTCCTGTCCTTCCAGCTTACTTTTCAATTATTCCCATGCATGATTATTTTGTTTTAGTGGGGCCTCTGTATGCCATTGAATTCTCTCTACTAAAATCCTCAGACTCCTACTGTCTTAACTCAGATTCCTCCTGTCCTTACTTCCTACCTGCTAAGTTCAGGTTATCATCCAATATTTCCTTAACTTTATTTTCCCACTTTTTCTACTTTCTGAAATGTCTGACCTCCCTCCTCTTTCCTTCTACTTTCAGGAGTGGGCCTTGCTGCTGAACTCAGAGAATGCAGGAGCTATCAGATATTAACTGTCTGTACTTCTGACTCCACATTCACAGAGCCTTTCTTTGTACCCTTACCCTTTCCCCCACTCTCTTTGCTTCTATTACAACAGAAAAACTTTTCCTTCCTGCCCTTTAGGGCCAGTTGTCCCACCATCCAGGAACGTTCCACCATCCCATCTCTTCCCTGCATTAGGCATTCATTAAGTATGCTTTGTAATAAACATGGAATACTTTCATAAATAGAAAATTAGTAACAATTCTTTCTGGGTAAGAATATGGGATTGAGTAATAGACTCTAGAATAATTGTGTTAGAGAATGTTAGTTAACCTAGAAAATTCCTCAGCATTTAGTTTCATAATGATTCTATCTACTCTAAGTGTATTTCATATGGTATGAAATGTTACAGTTCCTCTTAAGAACAGTATTTTGTCTATTTAATTACAATATGTCTCCTTTTATACATTTTTTCTTTACATACTGTTTAGATCTACCTTTGACTTTCTTTGGGCAGGGGGACTATGACTTGACTTTTTTTTTCTTTTTTCATAGCTGGAGAACACATTCAAATCAGTTATTGCACAAATTGGACCTGGAGGAACTATCAGTTCAGAACTAAAACATAAGATAAAATTTGTAAGTAATTTCTGTTTCTGTGAGACAATAATAATTGATTTATAAATTTATATATCATTTGTGGTTGAGTTTGTCTGCAAGTATTAGTTTACATCTAATCTTTTCTAATATACTGCAAACTAAGTGACAATTCTTTTAGAATAAGAAAAAGAAACAAAATACGCACTCCTAAAAATTTTTAACGTAAAACTATTTAGCAAATAAGTTCTTCCATAAGTTCTGTCTTCCTTTCCTTCTTCCCCCATCCCAGTAAATCACTGTTGACAAACAGTTCAAGATCTTTCCAAATGCCAATTTTATAAATGTACATTAAATATTATTCTAGTGTGTGGTATCCCATTATATTGATGTACCCTGTTTCATGTAGAGATCCATGATTGATTAAAGTTTTGGTGTTTTTATCTTTGGCTGTGGAAAAAGTACTCCAGTTAATGTCCAGGGACATTTTTCTAGAAGTGGAATTGCTAGTCAGAGGCATCTTATGTTTTGATTATAAATATTACTAAATTGCCCTCTAAAATGCTTGAACAAATTTATACTCACACTGACAGGTGTTATTATCCAATCACATTGTTTTAGTTTATCTCTTGATTTTCACATTAAGCATCTTTTCATATGCTTAGTAGTCATATATATTTTTTATGTGAATTGCCTGTTTATGTCATTGGTCTTACTTGTTTTGCCTTACTAATAAGGGAAAGCTCTTTGGTGTTATGTATTGAGCCAAAGAGTTATGTACACTTAAATTTTTGGTGGGAGCTGTTAATCTTGCTTCGAGTAATCAAGGTGCTATTACAACTTGTACTGCCTTATATTATTCCATTTCAACTGTCATGATTTTACTAGGAGAGATGTAAAAACGTTGATGCATTCAGGCCCTGTTTTTGTGTGTTTGTTTAGACACTTGAGCAAGTGTCCAATCATTATTTGTTAAAGGATGTTCAATATGACTTTTTTTTTTTTTTTTTAAAGAGATGAGGTCTTGCTCTGTCACCCAGGCTAGAATGCGGTGGTGCAATCATAGCTCACTGCAACCATCAACTCCTGGGCTCAAGCAATCCTCTCGCATCAGCCTCCTGAGTAGCTGGGACTACAGGTGCATGCCACCACACCCAGCTAATTAAAAAGGTTTTGTAGCGACAGGGTCTTGCTGTATTGCCCAGGCCTGTCTTGAACTCCTGGCCTTAGGCATTCCCCAACCTCAGCCTCCCAAAGGCTGTGTTTACAAGAGTGAATATGATTTTCTTGTGGTACCAAAAATCAGAGAAAAATTAGGCATTAATTTTAAAGGATTGGTTATTTATCGATATTGGATATTCTCCAAACTAGGGATGTCATGTAGCTTATAAGAAAGTTTATGTATGTCTCTCTTAGTTTACATGGAAGTTTCTCCTTGATATATTGTTGGACTTTAAAAGCAGGTTTTAGAGAATAGTGTGTTTAGAATTGTTCTTTCATATAAAATCATGAATAACATATGTGCACACATACAGGGGTTTCTGAAAGGATATTTCTTTAAATGTAGCAATGGCTGTCCCTGGGTCACAGGATTTTGAAATAATTTTTACTTTATATTTTTCTGAAGCTTGAATTAGAATTTTGTATAAAATATATCTGGAAAAATTTAGAAAACAAAGATTTTTATACTTTATTGGGATCGAGTAAGTCTACTTTCAGGAAATTATTCTAAAAATCGTTGAACTAGTGTGCAGAACTCAGGCATGAGGATAATCATTACAATATTTGGGATGAAAAATAAGAAACAAAATAGAAGATCAAATAAATTTAGGTGTCTTTAATATTTTGAAATATCTGTGGCCAGTAAAAATGTTTATCTGTTTTTACTGACATGGAAAGATGTCTTTGGTATGATACTTAAAAGCTGGCTATAGAAATATTGACTTATTTTAATATTAAATAGATATTTTGATGTTCATTATGGACAATAATGCTGTTTACAGATCTTATTTTTGCTTAACTGTATTTTCCAAAGTTTTTTGTAGTGTTTATTGCATTTCTTTTCTAGTAATTAAAATGATTGAAATTGTGCTATAGGATGTTTTATGTGAGCTGAAGTTAAATGTGTTAGCTGAGCTTAAAGAAGTGCAGGAATTTCTGGAGAGTTGTGGTATTGCAATATCATGTAATGATGATTTCTCAACTCTGGAAATGTTGGAAATCATAGTCTCTTTTGTTCTGATGTTTTTTAAAACTGGAAAATCATTTTTTAAAAAACAATGTAATATGACTAAAATTCATTTAATAATGTTACTTTTTCCTTTGTTATTTGTTTATATTATTTTAATATTGTGTCAGTCAGCATTTCAGTTGTGTCTATATTGTATTTCACTTTCTATTTATTAGGTTGTATCTAAGTTCCCAGAGGGTTTGTTTATTTCTAAACTGCTTGGAGAGTATGAGGTAAGTGTTTTGCTTTTCCCCAACCCTAATTTTTTATGGTTTATATTTCTTGTGATAGATGGAAATTTTGTAGCTACTCCTTGGATTCTCCAGGTCTATACTCTAAAATGGAAGCATTTTGTTTTGCATTTTAGTGCCTTTATTATGAGACTTGAGAATATGATATTTAACAAATAGTTGATTATGTATAGGAAGGATATTTTTACCACTTGTTGTTACAATATTATTAGAATAAAGATTGTCTCATTAATGTCTGACAGTATTATACCAAGTGTCAGTGGGGATGCAGAGAAGCAGAATACCTCATACACTGTGTGTGGGACAAAATGCTCTTAGGGAGCACTTTGGCATTATCAAGTAAAGTTGAAGGTGTGCACCCTCAAGGATCCAGTAGTTCCACTTTTACATTTGCACTCTAGAGAAACTCTTGCACATGTACACATGAAGACGTGTAAAGAAGTGCACAGCACAACATAGGAACAAATGAGAAACAAACGGTCATCAGTAGGATAGTGGATATTGACATTTATACAATGGAATTGTATGTAGTAGTATAAAATAAATCTGCTCTGCAACATGGATGATTTTTAAAACCATAATATTGAGTGAAAAAAAATCAAGTTGGAGAATAATTCAGATAATGCCATATATCCAGTTTTTAAAAAGATAAGTCCTATACATATGTTAACTGTGTGCCAGGCTCTATTCAGAGCATCTTCCATATTGGGATATGTTCGTTTTGTTTTCACAACAAATAGAGGCACAGAGAAGTAACTTGCTTAAACATCAAACATCTGGTAATAGGTGGAGCCAAGATTTTAACCTGGGCAGTCTGGCTTCAGAATTCTAACTCTTAACTACTGTGCCATGAAAACTGTAGGATATTTATAGGTAAAAACATAGATACTGTGAAATAGTATAACCTAATGGTTAAGATACATAATTCTATGTGCTATCTTATAGACAATATGTTAGGTCAAGATAATACCTACTTTATAGAGTTTTGTGAAGTTTAAATGACTTAAAAATGAGGCACTTAGAACAGTGTCTGGCACATAAGCTCTGCTCAGCTCTCTGCCTGAACTTTAACTGCACATGCTTGGGGCAGACATAGAGCAGCCTCTGTTCTTTTAAGGCTGAAAGAACTGAAGATATTTCAGCTGTTGCCCAACACAGGGTGGCAGATTTTGGGTTGAAGTTCAGCCAAACTTAAACAATACTGTCCAAAGGAGCATAAAAGATTCCAGATTCTCTACAATACATCTATCATGATGCCTGGAACACAAACCAAAATTACTAGATATAGTAAGAAACAAGAAAACGTGACCCTTTGACAAAGAGAAGGTAACCAATGGAAACTCTGAGGTGGTGCAGTTATTGAAGTCAGCAAAAAAGGTTTTAAAGTAACTCTTTTAACTATATTAAAGGATATAAAGGAATATGTATTCAGAGTGAATGAGCAGATAAGATATTTCAGTGCAGAAAAAGAAACTATAAAAACCAAGTGATTTTCACAACTTAAAATATCTGAAGTAAAAAAATTCACTAATACATTGAAAATGGCAGAAGAAAGCATTAGTAAACTTCAAGACAGATCAATAGAAATTATCCAATTTGAAGAACAGGGAAACAAAACATAACTTGAGTGACCTGAGACCTGTGGAATAATACCAAGTGGTCTAATGTATCTATTAATATAATTGGAGCCCAAGAAAGCACAGCAGAAATATATTTGAAAAAATAATGACCCAAGTTTCCCAAATCTTGTGAAAGAAGTTTATAAATCTAAGAAGCCCAGAAAACCCCAAACAAGTAACACAGAGAAAACCTTACATAGGCACATCATAGTAAAAATGCAGAAAACCAAATATAAGTAGAAAATTCTGAAAGCAGCCAGACTAAAAATAACACACTTCATACAGGAGAACAGTGATACAAATGATGGCTGACCTCTTGAAGCAATGCTAGAAGACAATGGAATGACATCTTTAATGTACACAAAAGAAAAGTACTGTTAACCCAATATTTTATATCCAGTGATAATATCAAGAATGAAGATGATGAGATAGACATTTTCAGGTAATCAGAATTGCAAGCAGACTGATACTATAAGAATGCTAAATAACATTCTTCAGGCTGAAGGAAATAATGCCAGACTGGAACTTTAATCTTCAGGAAGGATTGAATAAAGGATGTAGTAAATATCTGGGCATATATGAAAGACTGCCTTTTTTGATCAGTTAAAATATATGACTGTTTAAAGCAAAAATTACAGCATTAAATAATTGGGTTTATAACATGAACATGTAATGCATATGAAAACTACTGCATAATGAGTGGAGGGGCAGTACCTGGAACTGTAGGGTTGCAAGATTCTTATATTTTATTTGAAGTGGTACAGTAAGACTGAAAAGGATGTATGTTGGTTTTGCTGGTGAATTCTGTAAAACATTTAAGGAAGAAATTATATTAGTCATATACAGATTGTTTCTTAAAATAGCAGATAATATTCCCCAACTCATTCTTTTTTTTTTTTTTTCCTTTAAAGAGTCACTGTCACCCAGGCTGGAGTACAGTGGCATGATCTTGGGTTACTGCAGCCTTGAACTTCTGCTCTCAAGTAGTCCTCCTGCCTCAGCCTTCTGAGTAGCTGAGACTACAGACATGTGGCGCCATGCCCAGCCAATTAAAACAAAAAATTGTTTTAGAGACAGGGTCTCACTGTGTTACCCAGACAGGTGTTTAACTCCTGGCCTAAAGCAATCCTCCTACCTCAGCCTCCCAAAGTGCTGAGATTACAGGCATGAGCCACCATGCCTGGCCTCCCCAACTCATTCTGTGAATACATTGTCCTGCTACTAAAGCTTGACATAGACATTACAAGAAACCAATTAGGACATGTTTCTCATAACGTGGACACAAAAAGTCTATTACAAAACAGTAGTAAATTGAATTCAGCAATCCCTGAACAAGAGGGGTTTATCCTCAGAATGCAAAGTTGAAGTAACATTTCAAAAGGAATTAAGGTAATTCACCATTTTAATAGAATAATAAGGAAGAAAAGCCATGTGATTATTTTGGTAGCTGCAGAAAGAGAATTATCAAAATTTAATACCCATCCACAATTGAAGCTCTCAGAAAACTAGGAATAGAGAAGAAATTCCTCATTCTGATAAAGTGCATTGGTGAAAACCTATTAATATACTTGTCATACTCAATGGTGAAACACTGAACAATTCGCCCTTAAAATCTGGAACAGGCAAGTATATCCAGTCATACGGCTTCTGTTCAACATTGTATTGCAAGTTCTAACCAGTGTAATAAGAAAAGGAAATAAAAGGCATGAAAACCTAAAAGAGAAAAAGTTAAACTTTATTTGTAGAAAACATGATTGTTCATGTAGAATATACTAAGGAATCCATGAAAAAAGCTACTAGAACTAGTTTATTAGGTCAAATATACAAGGTTAGTATACAGAAATCAATTGTATCTTCATATGTAAGTAGCAAACTATCAGAAAATGACATTTTAAAAATTCTGTTTATTGTATCGTGAGATTACTTGGAAATAAGTTTAACAAAAGAAACATAAATCATGTATACCAAAAACTAATAAACATTGTTGAGAAGTTGAAGAGTAATAAATGGAGAGGTATTACATACTCATGGGTGAGAAGACTCATTATTGATAACATATGAACATGATAACATTAATGTATGGATTCAATATAGTCCCCATCAAAATTCCTGCAGGCTATTTGTAGATACTAACAAATCCATGAATTTGTCTGGCCATACAGTACATGCTTAGGAGATCCACCCATATACACTGAAGTGATTTTTGAGAGAGGTGCCAAAGGAATTCAAAAGGGATAAGAAAGTATTTTCAGCTCTGGGCATGGTGGTTCTTGTCTGTAACCTCAGCACTTTGGCAGGCTGATACAGAAAGATTACTTAAAACCAGGAGCTTGCAAAAATATTTTCAACAAATGATACTGGAACAACTGAATGCAAGATACAACTGAATACAAAAGAAAAGAAAAGAAACCCAACCTCAACCTGACACCATGTTCAAAAATTATTTCAAGATGTATCATAGACCTAAATGAAAAAATTAAAGCTCTAAAACTTCTAGAAGAATTAAAATATATTAATGACCTGGACAGGCAAAGGTTTCTTAGGATACAGAAGCAGTATTCAGTTAAAAGAAAACTGATAATGAGACTTCATCAAAATTAGCTTCTATTTAGGAGACCCCATTTAAAATTGAATAGGCAGACCACAGACTGGGAAGCAATATTTACAATCATACATCTAACAAAGGACTTATATTCAGAATACATAAAGACCAGTCTATAGCTCCATAATAGAAAGCCAAACAGTTCTTTTTGTAAATGGCCCAAAGGTTTGAACAGAGACTTCACAAATGCAGATATGAGTGACTGATAAACATATGATAAACTCACATTTTTGGTGCAAGTATAAAATGGTACAACTACTGTAGAAAATGTTCTTACGATTTCCTATAAGTATGTATTTGTCCTTTGACCCAGAATTACACGCCCAGATGTTTATTCAAAGTCTGTGTCCTCAAAGACTTACACGATAAAGAGTATTCATAACAGCTTTATACATTATAGCTGCCCAAAACTGGAAATAACCCTACTATTCATCAATAAGGGAATGAATGAAGAGATTGTGGTATGTTTGTACAACAAAATACTATTCCACATTAAAAAGAAGTAAACAGCTGATACATGAACCAGTGTGGATGAATCTGAAAAATAGTTGCTGAAGTAAGTCTCACACAGCAGCATACTGTAGAATGTCTTTTATATGAAATAATACAATAGCCAAAGATAATCTGTGGTGGAAAAAATTGTCTCTAGGGGTGACTGGGAAAGGGAGAACTTTCTGAGGTGATGGAAGTGTTCTGTATCTTGAATAGGGGTTTGGGTTACGCAATTCTGCATTTATCGGGGCTAATTGACTGGGAAACCTAAGTTGTGTGCATTTCGCTGTCTGTAAATTTTACCTAAAAGTGAACAGATACTGATTTCTAGTTAATGCTGTAATGCTGGCCTATTTTAGGGTAAAGGCTACTGATGTCTACAGGTCACTTTGAAATGTATATAAAAGATAAGATGGGTTGGTAGATGGATGGATACACAGATGACATAGCAGCTCTATAGTGGTAGAGTTCAGTATCCAGTTCTTTCAACTTTTTCTGTTTGAAATTTTACGTAAGAAAATCTTAGGGAAAAAAAGGAAAGATAAAGATGATTCAAGAGAAAATGACAGGTATTAAGCAGGCAAAGAAGAGCCAACATGAGTAATAAAGCCAAAGAAGGAAACAGAATGAATCCTAAAAACTAGAATTCAAGTAAACCTTACTGGAATGGAAGATTTGAGACTAGATGGAAGAGCACACTGCGTATCTGACAATATCAACTCAGAATGACCAAATATCAAATTTCTGGACTTAAAAGAAAAAAATTTGTCTTGGGCATTTAAACAAAAACAGCAAGTGACTTATAAAGGAAACAAAAGTTAAATTATTAGACATTCTCACAGCAATGTTGTAAGCTAGATGAAAAGGGAGTAACTTATTTTATATACCCAAAGCATGAGCCAAAGATTCTCTAGCTAGCAAAACTGACTTTCAGTTCCAGAGAGCCAGACCAGCTATTATCACCATGCAAGAATTCAAGAACTCTTGTTCCCATGAGCCCTTCCTGAGGAATCTACTGGAGAATGAACATCAGAAAACCAAAATCACACTAGAGAGACATTGATAAAAGGACTGAAAGTGAATGCCATTTATATAACTAAGATCAAATGAGGGTTGGGGGAGAGAATGCAGTATTTAGTGGCAATGTACTCTGCTAATGTAGACAAAGTACAGTTACACAAAATAGTGGAAGAAGAAAGGGTGAGCATATGCAAGATTATTTTGTTTTGATTATATTGGTGGTAGTATTCTGAGACCATTGTTGTATAATTTGATATAAAGCAAATGAATAATTAGGAGATAATTCAAATTGTATATACAAGGATATCCTAGTTACATAAATTGAGTTTGGAACGTCTTGTCATACCAGACCAGCAAGGAAGCTATTTAAAACTAGGTTCACCAATGAGATCACTTGGACTCGGGAAGGGGAACATCACACACTGGGGCCTATTATGGGGAGGGGGGAGGGGGGAGGTTTTACACTGGGAGTTATACCTGATGTAAATGACGAGTGGATGGGTGCTGACGAGTTGATGGGTGCAGCACACCAACATGGCACAAGTACACATATGTAACAAACCTGCACGTTGTGCACATGTACCCTAGAACTTAAAGTATAATAATAACAATAAAAATAAAAAAAATTTAAAAAAATAAAATAAAACTAGGTTCACATTAAATAGCTTAGGAATTCACTTGAAGAATTATTTCAGGCTACAATAAGGATGATAATTGCAATATTTTGAAGCTCATCAAATATATTTAATTCTGTGAGTTTATATGATACTAAAAAAAACTGATGACTCAACATAGAGGATGATGGAACTAATTCACTTTCTTTAAAAATGGTAGCCGGGCGCGGTGGCTCAAGCCTGTAATCCCAGCACTTTGGGAGGCCGAGACGGGCGGATCACGAGGTCAGGAGATCGAGACCATCCTGGCTAACACGGTGAAACCCCGTCTCTACTAAAAAATACAAAAAACTAGCCGGGTGAGGTGGCGGGCGCCTGTAGTCCCAGCTGCTCGGGAGGCTGAGGCAGGAGAATGGCGTAAACCCGGGAGGCGGAGCTTGCAGTGAGCTGAGATCCGGCCACTGCACTCCAGCCTGGGTGACAGAGCAAGACTCCATCTCAAAAAAAAAAAAAAAGAAAAAAAGGTAAATAAAGAGAGCTAATCGCATATCTTGGCATTCCTAAATGAATTTATACAGCTGCATAAGCAAAGAACAGGAGGGGAAGCATACATCTATAGAGTGTTCCAACTAAATAATGAAAAGGAATTGACAGAATGCTGCTATTAAAACTCTCAAAGTAATGCATCTAGAAATTGACTAATAATGGCTCTTAACAACACAAAAAAAAGAGATGACCAGATATTATGTGCCCCTCTTTAGAACATAGCATCACTTATAGTATTGTCAAAGAGATCAAACATAAATCTAATCAAGCCTGTGGGGATATCCATTATGCTAATTTGCAGGAAATAAAGTGTTTGTACTGTAAGATTGTCAGACCTTGAGGAAACAAAATCATGTAAACAGGATATATACATATATTTGAAGGCATAAATCTAAACTCTAAGAAAAGGATAATTAAAATTTGGTTGAAGATGGAAGGAAAGTATGGAGGGTGGGAGTAGAAATATATCAATTTCTTTCTTTTCTTTTTTTTTTTTTTTAAAGACAGGATCTTGCTGCTACCCAAGCTGTAGTGCAGTGGCACAATCATAGCTCACTGCAGCTTCAGCCTCCTGGGTAGCTGGGATTACAGGCACATGCCACCATGCCCAGCTAAGTTTTGTTTTTTTTTTTTTTTTAAGTTGTAGAGGCAGAGTCTCGTTATGTTGCCCAGGCTGGTCTCTAACTCCTGGTCTCAAGCAGTCCCTCCTGCCTCAGCCTCCCAAAGTGCTAGGATAACAGACATGAGCCTCTGTTCCCAGCCCATCAATTTCTTCATTGCTCATAGTTGGGAGCCGGTAAAGCAGAAAGCATAACAAAGGAATTAGGATAAAATATATCTGACATAATAAATTGACTAACCTTTTAAAAGAAACTGAGTCTCAGGATCAGATAGCAAAACTCAACTGTGTTTCATGTACTGACATAGTAATTGAAAAAAAGCAAGATGTACCTAGTATATGTAATCTATTATGTTGAATCATGTTTGAGTTTTGATAATTTCTGGAACGTTTTAACAAGGAACTGGCAATACTGATTACTTCCAGGGAAGTGATTGCTAGGTGACTGAGGAATTTTTTGTTGTTGTTTTGTTTTTTGTCAATTTAACTGAAGTGTTTATTTTTAAAATAGTTCCTGATTAAACTCACATCCTGCTTTTTAATAATCAGTCACTCAGCATCATTACAGTTTACCAAAATACAGATAAATTCTAAAGGAGAATGTGATTTCTGAATAAGAGCTGTCAAGTCAAAATGATTGAGAAATCCAGATGAGCACTGTGTTCTCATCTGCTTGTTCCTCTTGGTGCAGAGGAGAAAGCTGGAAGATGGCAACTTAACATTTTGATGACCGATTTAGCAGATAACAACCCAATATAAAACTCAGAAATAAATTCACAACATAAATTGAGGAAACCGAAGCTTATTCACTTTAAAAACCAAAAGGATGGAGAATAATATATTAAAATTCAAATGGGAGACTACCTGAAGAGCCAAGATGAGGATACGTATCAGAAGGTCTTCCACTGAGAGCATTAAAATTTGTATTAAAAAGATAATTTGCACGATAAGTTTTTCAGTATGAAATGCATCTAAAGAATGAAGATAGAAGTCATTCAACAACAAAAAAGTCTCTTTAGATGTAGCAGGTTTTGTTTTGTTTTTTAGGCTCAGAAATAAGCAAATTTGTCACCTTAGGATAATACATACAGTAAATGCAACATACTTATTGTCTTTCTTAGAATAATACCTACAATAGCTGCAAAATATGAAGACTGAAGGCAGCTTTGGGAGAACATTTCACTTTTAACCCTTTGGAGTAGATTTTGTTTAATGTTTTAAGAATTTATGTAGGATAGAGTTATTATAGATGAGTGAAACTAAAACAATGTTGGTGATGCTTTTGACTATGGAATAAGTAACTGATGATAGACGGTCCTTTTAAGACATATAAAATGTTTTCTGTTTAAGGAATGTATTCTGTGTGTCTATCCCATATATATTGTCTCCTGACTGTATGCTATGGGAAATACACCGATAGATATCTGCTCATTTATTCCAACTTCTTTTTTTTTTTTTTTTTTTGAGATGGAGTCTCACTCTGTCACCCACGGAGTGCAGTGGCGCAACCTTGGCTCACTGCAAGTTCCACCTCTAGGGTTCACGCCATTCTCCAGGCTCAGCCTCACGAGTAGCTGGGACTACAGGTGCCCTCCAGCGTGCCCAGCTAATTTTTTGTATTTTTAGTAGAGATGGGGTTTCACCGTGTCAGACAGGATGGTCTTGGTCTCCTGACCTTGTGATCCACCCGCCTCGGCCTCCCAAAGTGCTGGGATTACAGGCATGAGCCACCGTGCCTGGCCTTTATTCCAGCTTCTAAGGCGAAATAATAAAATTTAAGGAAATATTTTTAAACAATAATTTCTCTACATGTTGAAAGTGATATTAAATATTATCTTTATTGGAAAATAGAGAAATGCCAATAGTTTTATTACAACTGTTGTAATTTGTGCATTCCCTTCTTGTTTTTTTTTAAAGAAGACTTGCTTTATATTCAGACGTTAAAAATGAGAAGTGAAAAGCGCCCACCCTAACTTTTACTTTAGTTTACCACATGCTCTAAAAGGAACTTGACATTGACCTAGAAGTTTTATGGTAAGGGATTATTGGTCACTTGGTTTGTTTTGTACTGGTATGGAAGTGAGCCTTTACTCTTTAATACTTGAGTTCATTGACCATTTAAGATTTAGTTTGGTTGTCCAAGGACAACTGTATATGTTATATATCTGTTATCTGATGCTGTTTCATGTAATTTCTATTTTCTTGTGACAGGTGATTTTTAAAGAGCAACTATCACCAAAAAAATTAGGCTTCTTAAATGTGACAGAACTTGTTGGAGCTCTTAGTGACATTCTCCATGTTGAGTTCAGGGAAGGACAGCAAGACTTACTAGTATTTGATGTGGATAAGAAGCCTCTACCACCTGGTGAGTAGAACTACAGTATGATGCAAACCTCATTTTTATTGTCCTCATGAGGACAAAGAAAACACGAAATAATGCCTAGCCATGAAATGTTTTATATAATGACCACCTTTCTGGTGGCATTTGTTGTAATAATGTTAATCTGTATTATTAATAAAAATTATCTGAATTTTAAAATTTTGCTTTCTTCGGCCGGGTGCAGTGGCTCACGTCTGTAATCCCAGCACTTTGGGAGGCCAAGGCGGGCGGATCACGAGGTCAGGAGATCGAGACCATCCTGGTTAACACAGTGAAACCCCGTCTCTACTAAAAATACAAAAAAACCAGCCGGGTGTGTTGGCGGGTGCCTGTGGTCCCAGATACTCAGGAGGCAGAAGCAGGAGAATGGCGTGAACCCAGAAGGCAGAGCTTGCAGTGAGCCGAGATCATGCCACTGCACTCCAGCCTGGGAGACAGAGCGAGACTCTGTCTCAAAAAAAAAATTTTTTTTTTTGCTTTCTTCATTGTGTAGATTTTTTGATAATTCTGAAGGAAATAAAGTTTCTAAAATGGTGATCTGATAGTGCAGTGGTTCTTAACTCAGGCCGTGCATCAAAAGCTTTTTAGAAATATATGGAGATGCAGAATAAATGGGTGTGCGTTGGGACCCAGCACTTGTATTTTTTAAAATAAACTTTCAATTTTAGGATAATTTTAGTGTTACAGAAAAATTATAAAGGTAGTACAGAGTTCCCATATACCTGTCACCCAGTTTCCTCTAATATTAATGTCTTATTTACCATGATACATTTATCAAAACTAAGAAATTAACATTATACATTGCTAGTAACTAAACTCCAGACTTTATTCTGATTTTACCAGTTTTTCCAAGAATGTCCTTTTTCTGTTTCTGTATCCACTCCAGGATAATACCACATTGCATTTAGGGCACTTGATTTGTGTTTTGTTTTTTTGGGGGATGGGGGAACCTTCTTTTTCTTTTGAAGTTTTTATTGAGATAATTTTAGATTCACATGGAGTTGTAAGAAATAATACAGTATGATCCCATGTACCTTTTACCCAGTTTCTCCAATGGCAACACCTCACAAAACTAGATTGCAGTATGGTACTTGTATTTTTATAAGCTTGAATGAGTGGTTATGATAGACAGGTTTTTTTTTCCCGAAATGTAACTACCTTTATTGATTTTTCTGATCATTAAAGTAACTCATGTTCATTCCGAAAATATATAAACAACACAGATGAGTAGAGAGAGAACATTTTCTATTATTTTATCCCCCCCCAAAATAATGCTGTTAGAATATTTATATAGCCTCCAAGAGTTTTTCCAATGAATATGTAAGACATAGATAGATCTTTTTTTTTTAAATCACAAAAGCTGCACATGCTTGTTTAAACAATTCCAACAATACAGAGGTAACTATCATTAATAGTTTTAGTGTGTTTATTTCTGGACCTCTTCTGTATGATATAGCTAATTATCACATGTATAATTTTTCCTACACAAAACAGTAGTATATAAATACAAATTTACCTCAACTTTTGATGGGGTTCTGTCCCAATAAACCCACCATAAGCAGACAGTGCATTTAATACACCTAGCCTACTGAACATCAGACCTTGGCCTGGCCTACCTTAAACATGCTCAGAATACTTACGTTAGCCTACAGTTGGGCAAAATCATCTAATACAAAGCTTATTTTATACTAAAGTGTTGAATATCACCTGTAATTTATTGAATACTGTACTGAAAGTGAAAAACAGTGTTGTATGGGTACTGGAAGTATGGTTTCTAATGAATGTGTATCACTTTCATACCATAAGAAAGTCAAACCACTGTGGACATCTGTATTGTGTGAATCCTCGTTTCTTACACTTCATATGCTGTGGATGTTTTCTGTATTAGTACAAACCAGCTTATTTCATCATTTGAAATTACATATAATGTGCTTAACCAGTCTTCTACTGATGGACATTAGGATTGTTTCCGTTTTTCACCGTCACAAAAAAATACAGTGACAAATATTCTTGTACCTACATCTTTGTGTACTTATGACTTCATTTTTTAAGTAGTCACCATGCTTGTAGGTCTATCTGGAGTCTGTTTTTTTTTTTTTTTTTTTGAGGTGGAGTCTTGCTCTGTTGCCCAGGCTGGAGTGCAATGGTGCGATCTTGGCTCACTGCAACCTCCGCCTCCCAGGTTCAAGTGATTCTCCTGCCTCGGCCTCCCAAGTAGCTAGGACTACAGGCGCCCGCCACCATGCCCGACTAATTTTTGTATTTTTAGTAGAGATGGGGTTTCGTCATATTGGCCAGGCTGGTCTCGAACTCCTGACCTTGTGATTCTCCTGCCTCGGCCTCCCAAAGTCCTGGAATTACAGACGTGAGCCACCGCACCCGGCCCGGAGTCTGTTTTAATGTGCCAGTCTCTTGTAGTTATCATACACATGTAAATTTGAACACAATACGTTATTAACTTTAACATTTCCTAAGAATTAAGGAATTGTATTATGGAATGTTAAGTAGGTACATACATTCTATGTTAAGCAACGAAGAATGTTCCCTGTTTAATTTGAACAAGAAGTAAATTGAAATCAAGATGCTGAAAAAAATTAAGTCTTTTACTAAAGTTTAAGATACCTTATCAGATCACAAGCCTCCCTCCCCCAGCACAAATAATTTAAGATTTGTTCCCATCTAGAACTTCCCTTATATTTTGCCACACGGAAAGGTCTGCAAAGACAGGTTTATATCTCTCATTTATCATTGTCTTTCTAGCATCTGGTGTGTTGAAAGTGCTTAGTAATGGTTGGACAGCTATTTAACAAATATGCATAGGCTGCTGTATTGGCCATTTGAGATGGAGTTGTTTCATCAGTCAGAAATTTGTGTTCAGTTCAATCAGATAAGAAAATAGAAGCCAAAGCTTGTGTCTCCAGTCCACCTAGAAATTCATTGTCTACTGTTGCTGTCAAAGAGACTGTATGGAATTGCCCTTCAAAAAAACAAAAAGAGCCACAACAGAAGATTTGCAAGAAGCCTAATGTGGTAGTAAAGCCTTTACAGCTGGTGAGTGAGGTTTAAAGACTTTGTGCACTGGATATTCAGCACTATGGAAAGTAAATGTATGTTTCTTTAAACCAAAATTCTTTTTAGAAAAGTCTTATTTCTGGATATATCATTTATTAGAAGAAATCATCTTTGTACTGGTTATATCATATAGCATTCTTTCTAGTTTTCAGTCTTTTATATAGCTTGCTTTTCCTCAAGGCTCATTTTAAAGTTTTCAGATGGTTTTGAGAGTTGACAGCTCTCTCATGATGTCTTGAAAACCCACAGGGGCTTTAGAGGGAAAAATTGAGAGGCTTCGTTTTGGCTGTGTGCCTCAACACTGCTGCAAATTGCCTCTACACCCATCCTCAATTATAGGGTGCTTCTTTTTTTTCTTTTATTGCTTCCACACACAATTCACCATTTTTGTGTTTTCATCTCCCGTTACTTATTTTGTTGTTATTAAGGATCATTGCTTGCTCTTTTCCCCTTCTACCCTCTCTACCTGGTTTCTTTCATGGAAGGAAAAAGTTTTGTTTGGAGAGCTTGCTATATTTTCTGGAGGAAAATAGAAGGCCTAGAGGAAAACAGTATGTTTCAGAATGAGAATATTTGACAAATCCTGCTTTTGATTGGAAGACTAGTCTGCAATTTAACCTATTAAAGTTACCTTTGACTGCCGATATGTTTGAGTAGGACTTCACTTGGTTCAGCCTGAATGTTTGAAGTATCATATTTTCAATTTTGTATAGGGCAATTGTGTAACACTTTAAACTCTATACCTAATGTCATAAGGCTGTAGTTTTCATATTTTAACATAGGTAAGAATCACCCAGAGAATTTTTTTAAATGCATAATTGTGGGCCCCATTCCCAGGCCTTCTGAATCAGTAAGTCTGGGCTAGAGTTCAAGAATCTGTATTTGTATAATTTCCCAAGTGATTCTGATAAAGGTGGTTCATGAAATATACTTTGAGAAACATGCCATGGGGTTTGAAATGTCACCAAGAGATTTTTAATTTTTTTTTTTTTTTTTTCCTAACTTATAGCAAGTAGAAACAAACAAATCACAGCTCAACCTGGCAATGGCAAATCATGACATCCCGCCAGATGCTGTGCCGGACAAGAAATTATGCAGACTCCCACCATTAGACACCAGTTCCCTCGTAGGGGTCTTTGTGGAGTATATCATCTCTCCCAGTCAATTCTACATCCGGATCTATAGCAGGGATTCGTCAGAGTTACTTGAAGACATGATGATTGAAATGCGGTAGGAGTCTGTCGTTTTCAATGTGTTTTTCATGTATCTCTTTTTTTGTTGTTTTGTTTAACTTTTTTTTTTTAATACTTTAAGTTCTAGGGTACATGTGCACAATATGCAGGTTTGTTACATATGTATACATGAGCCATGTTGGTGTGCTGCACCCATTAACTCGTCATTTACATTAGGTATATCTCCTAATGTTATCCCTCCTCTCTCCCCACAATAGGACCCGGTGTGTGATGTTCCCCTTCCTGTGTCCAAGTGATCTCATTGTTCAGTTCCCACCTATGAGCGAGAACATGCGGCATTTGGTTTTCTGTTCTTGCAATAGTTTGCTGAGAATGATGGTTTCCAGCTGCATCCATGTCCCTACAAGGGACACAAACTCATCCTTTTTTATGGCTGCATAGTATTCCATGGTGTGTATGTGCCACATTTTCTTAATCCAGTCTGTCACTGATGGACATTTGGGTTGATTCCAAGTCTTTGCTGTTGTGAATAGTGTCACAGTAAACATACGTGTGCATGTGTCTTAATAGCAGCATGACTTATAATCCTTTGGGTATATCCCCAGTAGTGGGATGGCTGGGTCGAATGGTATTACTAGTTCTAGATCACATATCTCTTAAATCAGCAGTTCTCAAACTTTTTGGTTTCAGGACTCTTAAAAATTAAAGACCCAAGAGAGCTTTTGTTTATCAGTATTTATTGTATAGAAATTAAAACTGTAAAATTTTAATATTAAAATAATTCTTGTGTTAATATAAATAACATTTTTATGAAAATAACTTTAAAAATTTAGAAGGGTGGCATTGTTTTATACTTTCATAGATCTCTTTAATGTCTGGCTTAATAGAAGAAAGTTGACTTTTCATATTTGCTTCTGCATTTAATCTGTTGAGATATGTTGTTTTGGTTGAAGTATCTGAAGACATCTGGCCTCACACCAATGTGTAGTCTGGGAAAAAGTATTTTAACAGCTTTTTCAGAAAATTGTGAATATGCTTTTTTGATAGTATGCGAAAACTTGAGAAATGGTAGTTTCTCAAATGTTGTTTGGAATTTGAACTTTTTGTACTCTTATTATGTTAAACCCCATTGGTCTGCCTTTACAATTTGAATGAATCTAAGACTGGCTGTGTAATTGCTGGCCCTGGTGCAAAATTAAAATGCAGGGCTCCCTATTTAAAAGTTACTAATTTCAAGATGGCAACAGCAGAATATTAAAGCAAGGACAAAGCTGCTTCTAAGCATGGATTCAGACTATCCCTGAATGGGTCATACAACTTTATAATACCATGTATTGGTCATTTGGAAATAACTAGTTTGCTGAATTATGGGGATCTTCCAAATGTTGACACATTTCATTATGCAGTATAAAAATATCACATTAATATCATCACTGATCTCATAAGAAAAGTATTTAGTATTGGGAAGCTGTCAAGCTCACAGTGGTGGATGCAACATTTCCAAAATCTTTTTACTCGAAAGTTTGATTTTTATCATTGACAACGTGTACTGTGAGTTGTTTTCCTTGAAGTGACAAGCTTGCTTCATTGTTGAAAAATATGTGTCAAAAACCCAAGTCTGCTTTCTGGTGGTTCTTTAAAGCAAAAATGATATGAAAGAAATGGCTAGTTCATCTTCCAGGTCAAAATCATGTTTGTGGACTATGAGAACTACTAACTTACATTATCTCTTTTCTCTACTAAAAACTGTCCTTTGATAGCAAACACCATGTAAAATGTGGACATTTTCAACCACTTTAGATTTATTCATGAACAACAATGTCTGATTTATATATTGTTGTTATAGAAGAATAATTTATTTCATTTTATTTTGTATCTCAAAAAATATTCCATGTTTTAAACTTGACAACAGTATGTATTCTTCTACTCCAGGACACCTGGCGTAATGTAAGTCGCATAATCACTTAGTAAAAATATATATTCCATTCCAGTATGCCTATGGGACATTTGTACATGTTTTAAAAGCACACTTACTGGCTCTGTGACCTTGAAGTTACTTTACTTCTCTGGGCCTAGTTGTCTTATCTCCAAAATGAGATAATAATAGTACCTACTTCACAGAGTTCTAAAAATTAAAGTACTTGGAGCATCGCCCAAACGTTGGTGGCTATTATTATTAATACTATAGACTGGGTATAGTGTGGTTCATGCCTGTAAACTTGGCACTTTGGGAAGCCAAGGTGGGAGGACTGCTTGAGCCCAGAAGTTCAAGATTCATTTGGGCAACATAGTGAGACCCTGTATCTACAAAAGAAATTTAAAAATTAGCTGGGCATGATGGTGCATGCCTGTAGTCCCAGCTCCCCAGGAGTCAAGGCTGCAGTGAGTCATGATTGTGCTACTGCATTCCAGCCTGGGCAACAGAGTGAGACCCTGTCTGGAAAAAAAAATACTGTAACTACTGTGTGTGCTTGGTGTCAGAATGTTGAGGCACTTGCACTACAAGGATAAGTAAGACATGGTCCTTTGCCTTTGTGAATACCATGGTTAGCTTAGGAAGATGGGAGATACATGGGATATTGTAAAAGGAAGTCATTCTGCCTGGGCAAGGTTGGGGAAAGCTTCACAAAAGAGATAATTGAGCTAGGCCTCAAAAACAAGAATTTGCCAGTCAAGGAGGTTATGAGTAGGTATAATCAGGTCCAGTCGTTGGAACCAAGGCCAACATTAACAAAAGAGTAAGTGGTGTGCCTTGGAAACAGCAATAAGGAAGTGACGTTAGCACCAGGTGAGGTTGCAGGAGTCGGGAAGTGGGAGACAGTGACTGGACGTGATGCCGAAAGACTAAGAAAAAGCTAGATTCTGAATACCATGGGAAGATGTTTTATCTTATTCTGTAGACAGTGGAGAAGCACTGATGGTTTTAAGAAAGCCATTGGAGTGAAGGGACGAAGATCTATTGGTGGATTAGTCTTGATGAGAGTGAGACTAGAAAGGAAGAAAGAAATAGGAAAATGAAAATTGCCAGGTGACAAGAAGAGTGTTGAGAAGAATAAGAAAGGGAAGGAGATGATGAAAACTGTTTGCTTTAGAGACTGGATAGGTTTGAGCTGGGTTGAAAGCTTATTAGTAGAAGTTTACCTGTGGTGTCTCTAAGTTGACCATGAGAGTCATTGGCAACGTTGAATAGATGGTATGAGTTAGGATTAGGTTTAGCCACTGTTAGATATAACTTTATCATAGTAGCTTAAAGAAGATAAAAGTTTATTTCTTCTTCCCATAATAGTCCAAATATACACAATACATTCTGATATGATAGCTCTGTGGTGGGAGGGGGACGCAGGTGTAGCATCTTGCTGCTCCAGAATAGTGTGTTGTCCCTGTTCACGTGGTCTTGGGTGTGACTGACCACTACCACCACCCAGTCCTCCTGCCAGTTAGTGGGGAGAGGAAAAAGAAGTGGGGGGATGGGAGAGATACCTGTTTTATTAAAAGACACAACTCAGAATTTTCACTTTTGAAACTGTGGGTAAAATACACATTAAATGTACTCATTTTAACTATGTACACTTTTGCTCATATCCCATTGGCCAAAATTTAGCATTCACATAGCCACAGCTAGATGCAGGAGAACTTGGGAAACCTGAATGACCATTTACCCAGTTAAATGGTGGGAGAATCTATTACTAGAGAAAAGAGAAAGATGAGAATGGGTATTGAGGAACAAGTAGCATGTCTTCCATATAGTTGGAAATATTCCAGTTTTGAAGTGCAGAAAGGATACAGGGCCTTCTAGAGATAGATTGAGAATTAACAATTGATCAGTAGTATGGTATAAGACATGAAAATGAGTGAGACAGTATATAGCAAGAACAATAGCTAATATTTGAGTGCTTACTATATGTGTACACTGTCCTAAACTTTCAGATGTTTTAACACATGTTTTATTTTTATCATCCCCATCCTGAACAAGGAAACTGAAGCACAGAAAGATTGTCACACAACTGGTAAATGAGGGAGTCAGGATTTGGACCCAGGCTATTGGTTCCTAAGCTTATGTTATACTTCCTAAAGATAAGACCCCAGTGAACCTCAACATTTAATGCAATACAGAGCCAATAAAAAAATAACTATTGACAAAGAAGTAGAGAATTGTGTCTTAGAAACTAGGAAGGGGTTTGAAACAGGACAGGGTAACGCTGCAGCAAGATCATGTGTATTGAAGGCTGAGGAGAGAGGCCGCTGGATTTGGGAGCCATCAAGTCGTTGATGTCTTAAAACTAATTTATCCTAGGAAGTACTGGGGAATGAAGTTGGGGTACATTCTATCCAGCAGAGAATGTGAGATCAGAAAATGAGTATGTAAGTTTCTCTTTGAAGAAGTTTGTTGATGAAGAGATGGGACTCAGATAAGAAAAAACAATTAATTGGTATTAATGAGCATTAACAATTTGACAAAGTCAAAATTTTTTTCTTTGCTTTTTGCCAAGACTTTCTGGCTTGATACATTGATAAAAATTATCTTTAATTTTTTCTTCCCCTATGGATTTCTCTGTATTATGGAATTCCACAGGCGCTGTTATTCTAATCAGCTGGTTTCTGATCGATATGTCATGCCAGAATGTTTTATTCAGCCGGGACATCTCTGTTGTGTGAGGATTTCTGAGGATAAGTGGTGGTATCGGGTCATTATCCATCGAGTCCTTGGGAAACAGGAAGTTGAAGTATTCTACCCAGACTTTGGAAATATTGGAATTGTTCAGAAGTCCTCCCTGAGGTTCCTCAAGTGAGTTGAATTGAATTAGAACAATGGATGAATTAAATTTTGAATCGCAATGTTGAAGCTCTGTGGGGTTGGGATCTCTCTTTTCTCTTGCCTTCCTCCCTCCAGTTCTTCCTTCCTTCCTTCCCTTCCTTCTTTCTTCTTAGTGCATATTTGACAGCTGGGTCATTTCGTTTCACAGAGGGATTGTAACTCTTGTGTTGTCTTTTACATGACACTGAATTTTGAATGTACATTGAGACTACGTTTTCGTCTCTTATTAAGAAAGTGATTTTTTGGGTCATGCTAAGTGGTGCATTTAAATAGCAGGAAGATTTAACTTATATATTTGACTATCTGTTGCAGGTGCTGCTACACAAAGCTTCCAGCTCAGGCTATCCCTTGTTCTTTGGCTTGGGTGAGACCAGTAGAGGTATGTTTGCTTCTCTCCCATTTAATCAGCAAACACTTGAGTGCCTATTATGTGCCAAGAACAGTTTTACATGCTCAGGATATAAAGATAAAACATAGAACCAACCCTCAAAGAAGTCAGTGTATAGAGTATGGAAGACAGACATGTAGACAGAAATTGTTATGCCATATAAAATTTGCTATAGGAGAGGTTTCAAGAATGTATGATAGAGGTGCAGAAGGAAGATTGCTTGTTTCTGTCCAAGGTAATCAGGGAGGCATTTGAGTGGCACTTTGAAGGAAGATTAGGAAGATAACTAGATGAAAAAAGAAAGGCATTCCAAGCAAAGAGAGAGTAGCATGAAACATCTCAAATGGGAGAAATTTTAAGTAGTTCTGTTTGGCTACAGAATATAGGATGAGCTAATGTGGGTGCATGGTAGAAAATGTCAAAGAAATAGGAGCCTAATGTGAAGACCCATGTTCAGAAGTCTGAACATTGTCGTCCTTTAGAGGCTGGGGAGCAACTAAAGGATGTAAATAGGAAACTGCCACCGACAGATAACATGTTTTCAAGATAATTCTCTAGCAACATTTTGGCAGAGGTTTGAGGTGGAATGGAGCAGGAGTCATTTTCATGTATGTAGGTGCATTTTTGTAGTTATAATTATCTTATGTACCTAACTTTGCATTTTTCCTTCAGAACTCTTACTAGCGCATACCTGTACATTTATTATGCCGTATTTGTCTGCTTAATCTATCAGTTGCTCACATATAAATGGATTTTAAAAATATTTTTTGTCTGAAAAATTCTGTAAAGAAGAAAGAAAAACTCACTTCTGTAATCCCAGCACTTTGGGAGGCCGAAGCGGGCAGATCTCCTGAGGTCAGGAGTTCAAGACCAGCCTAGCCAACATGGTGAAACCCCATCTCCACTAAAAATACAAAAAGCCGGGCATGGTGGTGGGTGCCTGTAATCTTAGCTACTCTGGAGGCTGAGACGGGATAATCGCTTGAATCCAGGAGGTGGAGGTTGCAGTGAGCCGAGATTGTGCCACTGCACACCATCCAGGGCAACAAAGAGCGAAACTCTGTCTCCCAAAAAAAAGAAGGAAAAAGAAGAAAAATTACTGTAATTCCATCACTCAAACATACATAGTTTAGAAATTTGGTGTATGTTTCTTCCAGTTTATTTTATTGGATATTGGGGGCAAAAGGGTTTTTTGTATGGTTTTCAGCATTATTTAAAATAGTAATAATATTTCGTATTCTGCTCTTTGCTTAGCATTATAGCGTAAGTACTTTTATATGTTAAGTTCTCAATTTTACTGGATTCATAGTGTAATCTGTTAGGTAAATGTGCATCATAGCCTGTTTAACCATTATTGTTTGACATTCAGACTACTTTTAATTTTGACTATTAGAAACAATGTATGCAAATATGTTTTTTGATGGAAGCTTGTATTCAAGGTTGTTTCTTAGTTGCATTTATTCCCGAATAGTTTCTTTTTACTATTTTGCCATCAGGAGCACAGATTAAATTTGTGACTCAGTTGTAGCCAGTGTTCATTACTTTCATATCAGTCAGATAGCTTCCATTTTTTGTTCTCTTCTTTTTTCTTTTTCCTTTCTTTCTTTCTTTTTTTTTTTTTTTTGGGAGATGGATATCTCTTCATTGCCCGGACTGGAGTGCAGTGGCGCGATCTTGGCTCACTGCAACCTCGCCCTCCTGGTTCAAGCAATTCTCCTGCTCAGCCTGTTGGTAACTGGATTATAGGGTGGCCACTATGCCTGGTAATGTTTTTATTTTGTATGAGATGGGATTTCCCATGTTGTCCAGCTGGGTCTTAATCCTGCCTCGAAGTGATCGCCCCGCACTCGGCTCCAAAGTGGCTGGGATTACACGGTGTGGCCACGCCTCCGCCCTCCTTCTTCCTTTTCTAAACTCTCTGCCTTAGGCGCTTTTGCATATCTAATCGCTGGAATAGCTTATTCACAGTAATCTCACAGTTTGTCCTCCCTCATCATTCAAGTTTAAGTCCAAAAGTTATTTCTCAAAGGACTTCTTGACCTGACAATTAAAAATGCACACTTCACTTCAGGTTATCATTTCACCCTGTTTTATCTTCATACTGCTTTATCACATCTGAATATTGCTCTTGGTTTGTTTATGCATTACCATCGTGAGCCCCTCGAAATTAGGGGAAAATTGTTCTTATTCACCACTGAATCTCCAGTGCCCAGAGCAATGGCTTTGTGCGTGGTAAATGCTCAATAACTAGGTTTTTAACTAAATGACTCTATCTCACTTTATTTCTGTGTCTTTTTTTCTGATTTAAAAAATAATTAATGCATTTGGTAATAGCATAATAGCAAGAGACTATTATGCCCATTAGCAAAATCGGAAGCAGGCAAAAAAGCAGAAGTTTAAATGGCAATGGGACTTTTCAAGCTTCTTTTCTGAGAATCTGCAGTCTTGCTGTCTTAAAGAATTATAAGACATTGTTTGGAAATAGCAGAACAGCTGGAAGTTAGGGTGGAAATACTTGAAAGTAGGGAACCACAGAATGGATGAGTTCCCAAATCATTATATATGATCTGCCCAAATCCTTGGGTGACTACTGAACTATCTTAAGTGCTGGGGAGAGCTCAGTAGCCTGGTGAAAAATCAACAGTTGGCATTTGAGGTGACTCAACAGAGATTTCTGTTGCTACAGACTGCAGACGAGACAGTTTAGAGTTTGGGTCCAGACAATTTTAACTGCCAGTTAAAACAAATCACTCTTGAGAAGAGTGTAACAGAATCCAGAAGCTCTAAAACATATTGATGTTTACTATTTAACTAAAAATCACTAGACATGGAAAAGCAAAAAACAAAAACGGGAAAATGTGACATATACTCAAGGAAAAAAGTAGTTGGTAGAAACCAACATTGAGATGTCCCAGACATTGCAGTTGGCAGACAAAGACTTTAAAGCAGCTATTATGAGTATGTTCAAGGACCGAGAGATTTACTCATCATTAAGGAACAGAGAAGGAATTTCCACATTAAGAAACTATTTAAAATAAATGGAAATGCTGGAGTTGTAAAGTGAAATAAATGAAAAGTTTCTGCATAGGCTTAATAGCAGATTTGGAGACAATGGAGGAGTCTATGAACTTTAAAAACAGATCAAAAGAAATTATCCAATATGAAGAAGAGCATAAAAAATAATTAAAATGAAAATGGACAGAGACTTGGTCTCTGGCTCAATATCAGCTACCCCAACAGGGATGTAATTGGAGTCCCAGAAAAAGAGTTGAGAGAGAGAATAGGATGGAAAAAAGAAAGGCCAAAAATTTCCACAATGTGGTGAAAGAGTCAATATTCAGATCCAAGAATATCAACAAACTCCAAGCAGAATAAATACAAAGAAAACCATACCTAGACACATCATAATCAAACTTCTGGAATCTAAAGCGAAAGGAGAAAATCCTGAAAGCAACGAGAAGGGGGAAAATTCAGGAAACAATAATATGAATAATAACTAACTGCCCATTGAAAGGAACAACATTGAAATCTGAAAGAGAAAAAGAAGTCAAGGTGGAATTCTGTATCTAGTGAAAATATCTATCAAAATGAAGAAATGGAGACATTTTCAAAAAGTAAAAACTGAGCTCGTTACTAGCAATCTTGAACAACAAGAAATACTGAAGGAAGTTCTTTTAATTCTGAAGTGAAGTGAAACCAAATGGTAATACAGATCTACAGGGAAGAATGACGATTATGGAAAATGGTTAACATGTGGGCAAATATGAAAAACTTGTTTTTAATTTTATTCTCTGAATTTCTTTAAAGGACATAGAACTTTCAAACTAAATTGATAATACTGTATGTTGGAGTTTATAGCATATGTTGATGTAATATATATTTATCCCAAAAGTCTTAGTGCAGTTTAAGCTGTAATAACTACAGAAGTATAAAGGCTACAAATCATGAAATTATTCAAAAGTTTAATTTTTAACCTAATATATACTTGTTTGTATGTAATACTCATTTTGTAAATTTTGAGTAATTTTTTAATCTTTTTTGTTACAACTTTTACCACCCCAACAAAAATTAAAATTAATATTTATAGTAGACTTTTCATTTTTTATTCCTTCTTGACTTTTTTGATGTCATTTAAATTTTGTTTTTGGCATAAATTGTTCATAATTTTTTTGTCCTTTTGATGTTGACATCTGTAGTGATATGTCCTTTTACGTTCCAAATATGTATTTGTATCTTTTTTAAGGATCTAAAGAGACAGATATTTGCCATTTTGAATAGTTTTTTCAAAGAACCAAGTTTGGCTTTCTTGTTTCTATTATAAACATTTTTTTTCTATTTTGTTTATTTCTGTCTTATTTTTACTGTTTCCTTAATTCTACTTTCTTTGGGTTTATTTTGCTGTTCTTTCCCTAACTTCTTGATGTGCAAGCTTAGGTTATTTCTAGCCTCATAAGTTTTATGAGTGGATCTCATAAGATTTACTGTGCAGTAGTTTTATTATTGTTCAGTTAAAAATATTTTCTAATTTATATTTTGCTTTCTTGTTTGATTCATGGATTATTTAGAAGTTTCTCAGTTTATAAACATTTTTCTAATTTGTCCTTTTGTAGTTGATTTCTAGTTTAAATACACTGTGGTCAGAGATCATCCTCTGGATAGTATCAGCCTTTTAAATAGGAGGCTGCTAGATGGTCCAGTTTAGTGTCACTTTTGGTAAATGGTTGTATCTTCTTTAAAAGTGTATATTCTGCAGTTGTTGAGTATAATATTTTATATATGTCCATAAGGTCAACTTTATTGTGTGAAACTCTTACTCGTTCTGATTTTTCTGTATTGCTTTTCTGTAATTATTGAAAGAAGTGTGGCTTTTGTCTATGATTATTCTTTTGTGTATTTCTTCCTATAGTTCAGTCAGTTTTTCTTTTGTATACAATTGAGGCTATATTATTAGGTACATATACAGTACCAAAATTGTTATATCTTCCTGGCAGACCGAATGTTTTATCATTATGAAGTTAACCTCTTTTATTTCTACTAATGCAAAAAAAAAAAAAAAAAAAGTATTTTGTCTGCTGTTAATATAACTATCATTTTCTATTTAATATTATCTTGGTTTGTTTTTAAACTGTCATTCTACTTTCAACCCTTCTATATCTTTATATTTAGATATGTCTTTTATGAACTATATAGTTGTATTTTTTTTTAATCCAGGCTAATACCTTTTGTCTTTCACTCAGAATGTTTAGAGTCATTACATTTATTGTAATAATTGAAATATCTGGGTTTAACTCTTACACTTTATTTTGTGTATACTGTATAGTCTACTTATTCTTTTTCTCACCATGCATGCCTTATTTTGAAGAGATTTTTTAAATAATTCACTAAGAAATACACTATTATTTTAATAATTGATCTAGGAAATACAATATGTATAACAATGGAAGGATATTAGAGCACTTTAACTCCTTTACCCTCCTCTTCTGACCTTTTTGTTGTGTAATGTTACCATTTTTAACCCCTCAAGAAATTGCATAAAATAATGTCAATTTAGATTTAATTATATATTTCTCTGCCCTTCATTCTTCAGTCAAACCCTTGTCGGGACCTGTTTTCCTTCGTTTGATTAGGATTTTATTTAATGAGGGTCAGCTGATAGCAAAGTTGTATTTTTCCGAAAATATCATTTATTTTTCACTTATTATAGAAACATGTATTTACTAAGTATAGAATTCTAGGTTAGCAGTTAGTATCTTTAGCACATTGAAGATACCATTACTGGCTTCTGGTTTCCCTTATCGTTTTCTGAGAAGTCAGCTGTCAGTTTAATAGATTTTCTCCTTTGAAGGTAGTGTCCTTTCTGTCTCTAGGTGTTTTAAAATTTTCTATTAGTTGCTCATGTTCTTCAGTATTAGTGTTATGTGTTTATGTGTGAATTTATTATTTATGCTACTTTATGGTTCATCAGACTTCTTTTGTGTTTTGTTACTTTTTTTAATCTTGCAAATTCCCAACCATTATCTCTTCAATTACTGCCTATTTCCCATATTTATATTTGTATTCTTCTTATTTCTGCTGCTTTTTTTCTGGGACCATAATTAAAAGTGTTAAAACTTCTTAGTTTTTCTTCCATTTCTCTTAACCTTTCTATCATATTTTACATCTGTCTGTCTTTCTATGCTGCATTCTGGGAAATTTTTTCCAAAATACCTCACCCTTTACCAATTTACTCTTTAATTATATCTGATCTGTTATTGAATTAACCTATGAAGTTTTTAATTTTGGTTATCATGTTTTTACCTTCTAAAACTTCTTAGTTCTGCTAGATCAATTTTTATAGATTGCTAATTTCTGCAGAAGCTTTCAAGCTGAACTGGTTTTTGTTTGGGTTTTTTTGGCTTTAAGCATAGTAAGTTTAGTTGTTTTATAATTTGTCTAGAAGTTAAAATATCTAAAATTGAGGATTTGTTATATTGTTTCTGTTCTTTTTTGAGTCATTGTTTCTTTGTGTGTTTTATTATCTTTGCCTATGTACTGCTCATTGTCTTTGAAAAATTAACCAGAAGAATGGTTGAATAATAAAGGCTGAGGTTGCCTACCTCCAGAAAGGATTTACATGTGCTTCTGCCAGATATTTAGAAATATTACCAGTCTGGGACCATGTTAATTTAAATTAACAACTTGAGGATGTGTAGACCACCCTGGTAATGTGAAAATTGAACTGCAAATCCATGTGAAGGATAATTTATTTTCTTCCTTCCTTACCCTGAGAGTGTATCTCCTTAGGGACTCAGTTTAATGAAGGAAAGTTCTCCTGTAAACTCCCCACCATGGGTGCACCCCGGCTTTGATGTCTGTCTGACCTGTTAGACCGTCCGGTGGGTCACGCCTGTAATCCCAGAACTTTGGGAGGCCGAGGCAGGTGGATCACCTGAGGTCAGGAGCTCGAGACCAGCCTGGCCAACATGGTGAAACCCTGTCTCTACTAAAAATACAAAAATCAGCCGGATGTGGTGGCATGCACCTGTAATCCCAGCTACTCAGGAGACTGAGGCAGGAGAATCGCTTGAACCCGAGAGGTAGAGGTCGCAGTGAGCCGAGATCACGCCTTTGCATTCCAGCTGGGGTGACAGAGCAAGACTCTGTCTCAAAACAAAAAGAAAAAAACCAAAGTTCAAATTACCTGGATTAGCAGGTTCCCTTAAGACAAAAGTAGTTCCCATTTTCCCTTCAGTTTTGGCCTGATAATTTGTTCAAGCTTGTCAGTTCTTTGATGCCTTTTGGATATATTTCATAATTCTTTTACCTAGAATTTTTAGTTGTTTTCTTTGGGAGGGTTGGTCTAATAATCTAACTCACAGTTTGTGAAAATGGAAGTTGCACATTACATAATTATTTAAATGTTTTCAGTAATTGCATTTTTTGTCATTTTTCCTTTATTCTGACTTTTCTCATCCCCAAATAATATATATCCTCCTATGTGTTATTCTAGTACTTTTATGGTTTTATTTCCACTTCAGTCTCTAGTTCATCAGAATTCATTGTTGTATATGGTTATTATAATTCATGTTTAGATCTATCACCTGAATCCAATATCTTGATCATATTTCAGGAACACTGGACATCGAAAGCTATTTTGCAATTCCAGAAGTTGTGCGGTTTGAAGCCATTAGTAGGGGTAGTGGATGAATATGTAGATGGAATCCTTAACATTTTTTTGTGTGACACATCCTCAAACGAAGATATCTATTTCCATCATGTCTTGAGAACAGAGGGCCATGCTATTGTATGCCGAGAAAATATCTCTTCTAAGGTGGAGCAGTCTGGATGTATTTTGTAATATATTTTGTTTAATTTCACCACGTCAAGGTATAAGATAATTTAATAAAGAAGTTTATTTGGTTTATTCTTTAACCAATTAGAGACATCCATGAGATTCCTGGCTTTTTAGTGCAAAGCACTCTTAATTTTCAGATGACCACAGAAAAACTGCATTTGACTAATTGTCCTTTGAAATGGGAATACTTTTATTTTAAATAATTAATTTAAAAAGTAGTTATCTGGCCGGGCACAGTGGCTCATGCCTGTAATCCCAGCTACTCGGGAGGCTGAGGCAGAGAATCGCTTGAACCCGGGGGGTGGAGGTTGCAGTGAGCCAAGATGATGCCACTGCGCTCCAGCCTGGGCAACAGAGCAAGACTCTGTCTCAAATAATAATAATAATAATAATAAAATAAAAAGTAGTTATCTGAAGTTGTCCTAGAGAAGAATAACACTCCTATTTTGCAATTATTGATAGCATCTGTTTCACTGTTATGTTGATAATTTTTGTAACTAGCAAAAACTGTCGATAATGGAGACATTTTTAACTTAAAATTTGGAAGATAGGTTGGGTGTGGTGGCTCACACCTGTAATTCCAGTACTTTGGGAGGCCAAGGTGGGTGGATCAGGAGGTCAGGAGATCGAGACCATCCTGGCTAACACAGTGAAACCCCGTCTCCACTAAAAATACAAAAAATTAGCCAGGCGTCGTGACACGCGCCTGTAGTCCCAGCTACTCAGGAAGCTGAGGCAGGAGAATCACTCAAACCTGGGAGGCAGAGGTTGCAGTGAGCCGAGATCACGCCACCGCACTCCACCCTGGGTGACAGAGTGAGACTCCGTCTCAAAAAGAAAAAATAATAAATAAAATAAAATTCAGAAGATAATATACTTCCATAGTATTTGAAAGTTACTAAGTGCTTTCTCACCCTTTTTCTGTTGGTCATGTAAATTAAACCATCCCTTTTCTTTTTTTAATCTTAGGGTTTCAGTGAGCTCAACCCTTTAGCTTTATACACGAAATCCAGTGGAGGGCCAGAGGACATTGTCTTGACAGAACTGGGTTATCCTTCCCAGCAGCACTATTTTAATGAAGACCGAAAGATAAGTCCACAGTCAAAAGAGAGTGAGTTACATATCCTGGTAAGAGATGTTTGCAAATACTATTATAATTCTTTTTATTACTGTAATCCTTATTTTTTTAGATGAAGAAACCAAGGCTTTACAAATTTTGGGGAGTTTGGAAATTTTGCACAGTGATCTTAACAATTTGTCTCTTTGTTTGCTGGCTTAAACATTTGCTTCAGTCATGCTTCCTCCTGAACAATTGCTCTTATATACTAAATTCCACTGCTGCCTTTGTGCAGTTGTGACTTCACTACACTGACTCTGAATGCTATTCTTCCCTCTGCAATACACAGGTTCTTCTGGTATTCTCGTTTCTTACTTTCCCTATAAATTTTCAGCAACTCCTCCCTTCACAGTAATAATAGTATTATAATATTATTATGTATTTTTTCCAGCTCACAGTAATAAGAACAACAGCATTATTTATTGAACTTGTACCACATGGCAGGCACTGTTAAAAGCATTCACATGTGTTAACTAATTTAATCTTTACAGCAACTTACCAGGTTTGTACTTTCGTATCTTCATTATACAGACAGCTTGTACATCTCTAATGCACAAACTCAAAACCTGAAATGCTCCAAAATCTCAAAATTTTTGAGTCCTGACATCATATCACAAGTGGAAAGTTCCACACCTAAACCTGTATGACAGGTTGCAGTCAAAATGTAGTCCAAACTGTTTCATGTACAAAATTATTTAAAATATTATGTAAAATTACCTTCAAGCTATGCATATAATGTATACATGAAACATAAATGAATTCCATATTAGACTTGGGTCTTATTCCCAGGATATCTCATGTATATGCAAATGTTTCAAAATCCAAAATTATCCAAAATCTGCAACACTTTTTGTCCCAAGCATTTTAGATAAGGGATACTCAATGTGTAAAAGGTAAGTGAAGCATATGGTGAGGACTTAATGTTTCTTGAACAGATAAACCATGTCCTCCAAGTCTTATATTCCTCACGACAACAGATACTGGGCTAAGAATACAGGATGTGTTTAATTTGAGGGCCAAATATGTTTTGTTTTATTGATACAATGTCTTTTTATTTCCTTTGAATAAAATGTAAAAATATTATTTTTAATGTGTTTTATATATCTGACTTTTAAAATTATAGAGATGATTTTTTGAGTAGACATTTACTAATTATTAGAAAAGATAAAGGCCATTTTGACTACTGGGAGATTACCTATTATGAAAATTATGTACTGATGTTTCCTACTGCATGTTCAAAACAATATACAGTTTTTTAGATTTCTAGCTAATGTTAAAATTAATGAAGCTTATATGCCCATAACACTTTCCAAAGCCTGAATTTTTCTTAGTCATTATTACTGGATTAGGAGAATTCTGTTTCTTCATTCTTAAATAGTAAGTTGAATTCAACCTTTAATATTTTTAGAATATCCTATCACTCTGTTGGTGTCTTCAAATAATCATGGTTTTATTCTGGAGATGAAATAAGAACCATCTTTTCTGCAAAAGAGAAAGAGCTGAAAACTCTACTATTCCACCCTAGTCTGTACTTTGACATATTAAGCCTCCCATATGCTACACACACACCTACATCTCTACACCCAGTTCCTTGTGAATTCCTACTCATCTTTTAAGTGTTATCTTCTTCATTGCATCTTCTCAGATGTCCTCTTCTATCAGTCATATTTTGGTCATATCTTTGTGATGGCTGGAAGACTGATTCTAGGTCTTTCCACAATATTTTTTAGTTCCTTTAGTAGAGCCAGAATCTGTTACATTCATCTTTGTATTCACAGAGCTGTCTTGTAGACATTTCATAATAAAGGCTCAATAAATGTTCATTGGCTTGAACTAGTATAGCAGGATGGGAAGACCTAGGATCGTGGATAAAGCTATAAAATAATGTAGCATTTGTATGAACCATAGCAAAAACTTCCCCCCAAAATGTATAGGCATGTAGATTTTGGAAACAGCGTTAATATTGAAAATAAAGGAATTCTCTTTCATATCTACTAGCAAGATATTAATGATGAAAAGTGTTTAAGTCATCTTAAATCTGAGTCAAAGGAGCCATTAAAGGATTCTGAATTTGATTCTTTGAAAACCTGTAATAAGAGCTTTGAAGAAGATCCAAAGTGGTCCAACCCAGAGCCAAATGATCTGAAGGAAGAAAATGAGGTAGGAGAAGGAAAGATAGTCTTTGAATATGTAATTAATATAATACACTGAATTCATAAGTGAAGAGGATGGGAATAAACTCTCTTTAAACCCCGCTGCTTTTAGTATTACAAATTCTTGGGCCAAGTGCGGTGGTTCACACCTGTAATCCCAGCACTTTGGGAGTCTGAGGCGGGCAGATCACTTGAGGTCAGGAGTTCGAGACCAGCATGGTCAACACGATGAAACCCTGTCTCTACAAAATGTACCAAAAAAAAATTAGCCAGCCATGATGGCATGTGCCTGTAATCCCAGCTACTCAGGAGGCTGGGGTTTGAGAATGCTTGAACCCGGAAGGTGGAGGTGGCAGTGAGCTGAGATCGTGCCACTGCACTTCAGCCTGGGTGATAGAGACTCTGTCTCAAAAAAGTAAATAAAATAAATAAATAAATAAATAAATAAATTCGTTCATAGTAACCAATACCAAAGTTGTAGCAACATAACCTTGATCATAAAAAAGGTATCTGGCTTTGATGTGTTAGTTAATATCCTGTGACTTGGGGTGGTCTTCAAGAATTATACAGTGGCTAGAAACTAGTATCAAGAAATTATATTTTGAAAAACTCATTGGGAAAAATATTTACAACTTTTTTGGAGGATGTATTTTTATTTTAATCGAATGTTTATGTATACAAAATTTAGGATCCCCCATGACTCCTTCCCCTGTATTTCCTACTTCCCAGAGCAACCACGTTTATCTCTTTTAGCTGTTTTTGGAATTTACTTCTGTTTCTTTCATTAAATAACATCCTCATGTTGTTATTTCCTGATTTTTCAGTTTTAAGTATCTGTGAATTTGCCACTATGAAAGATGAGGGCTTAGTTCTCTTTCATTGCCTTACCATCATCACACACAAACATAACCTTTTTGTCCCTTCCCCCTACCATGTTATTGATATAGTATGTCAAACTTTCCATCAGATCACCATTCAATATTTATATTACTGTGACTATGTAAATGCTCTTTGCAGCTTGGCCAAGTATTATAGTACACTCTTACACCTTTTTCTTCCCTTGTATAACTTTTTTTCATGTTAATATTTCTTTCCTTTTATAATAAATTAACACATAGTAAAATGGACTTTTTTGGTTCTATCAACTTTAATAAATGCATAGATTTGTGTAACCAACACTGCGATTGGGATGCAGAACAGCTTCATTATCTAAAATAACGCTTGTGCTACCGCTTTGTAATCACAGTCTCCCCACATCCCTAACCCCTAGCAACTGGTCTGGGGTCTGTTTTCTGTCACTCTAGTTTTACCTTTTCAGGACTGTCATGTAAGTAGAATCATATAGTATGTAACCTTTGGAGACTGGCTTCTTTCATTCAGTATAGTTCTGTACCTTTGAGATTCGTCCAAGCTCTTGCATGTATCAATAATATGTTCTTTTTGATTGCTGAATAGTATCTTATAGTATAAATATGCCACAGTTTGTATACCTGTTCACCTATTGAAGGACATTTGGGTTGTTTCCAGTTTGGGGTATTTATTCAAGAGCTGCTATAAATATTCATGTACAGGTTTTTGTGTGAACATAAGCTTCATTTATCTAGGGTAAATACCCAGGAGTAAGATTGCTGGGTCATGTGATAAGTGTATGTCAAACTTTTTTCCAGAGTGACTATACCATTTTGCATTTTCACCAGCAATATATGAGTTCCAGTTGCTCCGTTTTCTTGTCAGCACTTGACATTGTCAGTAATTTTGCTTTAGCCATTTCAATAGATGTGTAGTAGTATCACAGCATGATTTTAAATTTGAGTGATTAATGATGTTGAACATCTTTTCATGTGCTTAGTTGCCATCTATACACAATTTTTGGTGAAATTTCTGTTGAAATCTTTTTCCCATTTTTTGATTGGGTTGTTTTCTTACTCTTGAGTTTTGAGAGTTCTTTATGTATTTGGGATACTAGTTCTTTGTCAAATAATGTGATTTTCAAATATATTCTCCCACTTGTAGCTTGTCTTTTCATTCTCTTAATATTGTCTTTCATACAGAAGTTTTTAATTTTGAAAAAACCTAACATATCAACTTGTTTTCTGTTATGGACAGTGTTTCCAGTGTCAAGACATCTTGAGTTAATTTTAGTATAAGGCATGAAATTTAGGTCAGGTTTCATTTTGTTACATGTGGATGTCCAATTGATCCAGCGTCCTTTGTTGAGAAGGCTATCCTATCTCCATTGAATTGTCTTTGAAGCTTTATCAAAAATCAATTGTCTATATTTCTGTAAGTCTATTTCTAGACTCTATGTTCTTCTCTAGTGACCTATATGTATGTCTCTTCATCACTACCACATTGTCTTGATTACTGTAACCTTATATAGTACCTCTTAAAATCCGGTAGTATTGGCTGGGCGCAGTGGCTCATGCCTATAATCCTAGCACTTTGGGAGGCTGAGGTGGGGGGATTACCTGAGGTCAGGAGTTCAGGACCAGCCTGGCCAACATGGTGAAACCCTGTCTCTACTAAAACATACAAAACCTAGCTGGGTGTGGTGGTGGGCACCTATAATCACAGCTACTTGGGAGGCTGAGACAGGAGAATTACTTGAACCCGGAAGGCGGAGGGAGGTTGCAGTGAGCTGAGATCACACCATTGCACTCCAGCCTGGATGACAAGAGCAAAACTCTGTCTCAAGAAAAAAAAATCAGGTAGTATGATTCCTCCTATTGTATACTTTTTCAAAATTGTTTTTAATATTTTGGTTCCTTTTACTGTCCTTATAAATTTTAGAATCAGTTTGTCTATACCTGAGATTTTGATTGGAGTTGTGTTATATATATATAGATAATTTTGAGGAAAGTTGATACTTTAGTCCATGAACATGGTATATCTCCCCATGTATTTAGGTTTTCTTTTATTTCTTCAACAGTGTTATAATTTTCAGTGTACAGGATCTGTACATGTTCTGTTAATTTTATTCCTAAGTATTTCACTTATTTTGAGAGCTATTATAAATGTTTTCCCCAATTTTTGTATTTTAATTGCTAGTATATAGAAATTGGTATTTTTTGGAACTACCTAACCTCACTAATCAATTCTAGGGGGTGTTTTGTTGATTTCGTTTGTGATTTTCTATATCAGTAATGTTGTCTGCATTCGTATATGCAAATGGATGTCTGTTTTCATGAGATATTGGTCTGTAGTTTTCTTGTATTGTCTTTGGTTTCTGTACTGGATAAGCCTGGCCTCATAAAATAAATCTGAATATGTTGCCCTCTTTGCTGTTTTCTGGGAAAGATTATGTAGAATTGTATTTCCTTTTTATTTATTTTTGTTGTTTGTGTGGATCTTTATTTTCTTAGTTTTTTAATTAAGTAAAATTGCATATATGGTGTACATGTTTCAATATATGTGTACATTGTAGCATGTATAAGTCAAGCTATTTAGCATATGCATTACCTCACATATTTGTATTTTTTTGTGGTGAAAACACTTAAAATCTACTCTGCTGACAATTTTTAAGTATACATTATGTCACTATGTCACTATTAACTGTATAGTTAATAGTTAACATCACTATTACCAAGATGTATAGCAGATCTCTTGAACTTACTCCTCCTGTCTACTGAAATTTTGTGTCCTTTGACCAACATCTGCCCAATCCCTCCACCTCCTAGCCTCTGGTAACTGCTATGTCAGTCTGCTTTTTTAGATTCCACGTGTAAGTGAGATTGTGTTATTTGTCTTTCTGTGTCTGGCTTCTTTTATGTAACAGTGTCCTCCTAGTTCATCCATTTTGTCACATATTACAAGATTTCCTTCTTTTTAAAGGCTGAATAGTATTACATTGTGTATATGTAGCACGTTTTCTTTATTTGTTTATTGAGGTACATTTTGTACAGGGTGATAGTGTCCTAATAAAATGAGTTGGAAGTATTCGCTTATCTGTTTTCTGGAAACGATTATATAAAATCGAGTTCTTTTTCAGGGAGAGAAGTTGATTTTTAAAATGTTTGCTATTACCTTATAAAACCATCTGGGCCCGGAGACTTTTTCCCAGGAGAATTTAAATTATAAAATCAATTGCTTTAATAGATACAGGATTATTCAAATCAGCGATTTTATCTTAGTCTTGGTATTTTGTGGTTTTTGAGGAAGTGACTCATTTATCAAATGAGGAATTGGTTCACTTCATCTAAGTTGTCAACTATATCTATAACATTGTTTATAGTATTCCCTTATCCTTTTGTTATCTGCAGGGTCTGCAGTGATAATCTCCTATTACATTCCTGATGTTGGCAATTTGTCTTCTCCCCTTTTTGTTAGTCTTGCTAGAGATTTATCCATTTTATTAAACTTCCCATTCCCAGAGAATAAGCTTTTGGTGTCACTGGTTTTATCTCTTGTCTTTCTGTTTTCAAGTTCATTGATTTCTTTCTTGTTTTATTTTCTTTGGGTTTATTTTTGCTTTCTTTTTCTATTTTTTTTAAGATGGAAATTTATTGATTTGAGACCTTTCTTTTCTAATATAAGCATTGATCTATGAGTCTCTACATATCACTTTAGCTGCATTTCACAAATTTGAACATACCGTATTTTCGTTTTCTTTCAGTTCAAATATTTTATAATTTATGTTGAGATATTATCTTTGATCCATGAATTATTTGGAAGTATGTTGTTTAATTTTCAGGTGTTCGGAAATTTTCATGTTAACTTTCTGTTATTTCTTTCCAGTATAATATGGTCTTAGAACATACTTGATTTCAGTTCTTTAAATTTTAAGGTTTGTTTTGTCAAAACAGGATGTGGTCTAGCTTGGTAAATGTCCATGTGTCTTTTAAAAAAATGTGTATTCTGTTGTTGGGTGGAGTTTCTATAAATGTCAGATCCAGTTGACTGGTTGTATTGTTCAGTTCTTCTGCTCCTTGCTGTCTACCAATTTTGTTGATTACTGAGAAGAACAGTGAAGTTTATAACTATAATCTTGGATTTTGTCTATTTCTCCTTTCATTCTATCAGTTTTTTTGTTGTGCGTTTTGAAGTTCTGTTGTTAGGTGTTATCCATTTAGGATTCTTATGTCTTGATGAATTGACCCTTTTATCATTATGAAATGTCTTTCTTTATTCACAATTACTTTTTTTTGCACTGAAGTCTGCATAATCTGATATCAACATAGCCATTCCAGTTTCCGTGTGTGTGTGTGTGTGTGTGTGTGTGTGTGTGTTTGCCTGGTATATTTCTTTCCATCCTTCTAACCTACCTGTGTCATCATATTTGAAGTAAGTTTCTTGAGACAGCATATAGTTTGATTATTTATTTATTTATTTATTTATTTAATTTTTTTTGAGACGTAGTTTTACTCTTGTTTCCCAGGCTGGAGTGCAATGGCATGATCTTGGCTCACCACAGCCTCTGCCTCTCGGGTTCAAACGATTCTCCTGCCTCAGCCTCCTGAGTAGCTGGGATTACAGGCATGCACCCTATGCCCTGCTAATTTTGTATTTTTAGTAGAGATGGGATTTCTCCATGTTGGTCAGGCTGGTCTCAAACTCCCGACCTCAGATGATCTGCCCACCTTGGCCTCCCAAAGTGCTGGGATTACAGGCTTGAGCCACTGCACTTGGCCTAGTTTGATTATTTTTTAACCCACTCTGACAATCTGAATTTTAATTAGTATGGTTTGGACCATTTATGTTTAATGTGATTATATATATGTTTTTATTTTATATCTGCCATTTTATTTTTCTGTTTGTTCCCCTGATTTTCATTCATCTGCCTCCTCTTGCTTTCTCTTCGGTTATTTGAACATTTTTTAGTATTCTATTTTATTTACTATGGTTATTTGTTTGTTTATTTATTTATTTATTTGAGATGGAGTCTTGCTCTGTTGCCCAGGCTGGAGTGCAGTGGCACAATCTCGGCTCACTGCAAGCTCCACCTCTCAGGTTCATGCCATTCTCCTGCCTCAGCCTCCTGAGTATCTGGGACTACAGGTGCCCATCACCACGCCCAGCTAATTTTTTTGTATTTTCAGTAGAGATGGGGTTTCACCATGTTAGCCAGGATGGTCTCAACCTCCTGACTTCATGATCTGCCCACCTTGGCTTCTCAAAGTACTATGTTTTTATTATATTTATTTGTACAGTGTTTTTAGTGGTTGCTCTAGGAATTACAATTGTCATTCTTGACTTTTACAGTGTACTTAGTCAGCATTTTACCACTTTGGAATGTCAGTATCTTACTCTACTATTTAGGTCTTTTTACCCCTTCCTTTTTCCTTTATGCCATCCTTGTCTTATATGTTACACCTACATACAATTTATGATGTTATAGTTTTTGCTTTCCATCTTCAAGAATATTCTTCTAAGAATATTCTTTCAAAGTTCAACAGAATAGTCTATTATATATACCCAGATATTTATCATTTCTGTTGATCTCTCTTTTTCTGATATTCCAAGTTTCCTTCTGATATCTCCTTTCTGTCCAAAGAACTTCCTTTAACAATTATTTTAGAGTAGGTATGCTGACCATGAATTCTCTGTTTTCTTTGTTGAGAATATATTTATTACTTCATTCTTGAAGAATATTTTGGCTGTATGTAGAAACCTAGGTTTCCATTTCTTCTCTTTTAGCACTTTAACAGTTTCATTCTTCTTATTGCCCTTCATGGTTTCCGATGCAAAATCCACAGTAATTGAAATTGTTCTTCCTTTATAAGTAATGTGTTATTTTTTTTTTGGCTACATTTAAGACAGTTCTTTGTGTTTAGTTTTCAGCAACTTGAGTAGAACCTGTCTAGGCATGTATTTCTTTAGGTTTATCCTGTTTGGGTTTTGGTGAACTTCTTGAAGCTGTATATTTATGTCTTTCACCAAATTTTGGATGTTTTCAGCCACACTTCTTCAAATTATTTTTCTGCATTATACTCTTTCTGTTTTCCTTATGAGACTCTGATGACACAGATGTTAAATCTTTTGGTATTGTTCCACAGTTCCTGAGGCTCTATTTTGGGTTTTTTGTTTGGTTGTTTTTTTGTTTTTTTCCCCCAATATTTTTTTCTCTTTTGTTTAGATTTGATGATTTCTATGGATCTGTCTTCAAGTTCATGCATTCTTTCATTTCTGTTCTGCTGTTGAAAAGAGGGCCAGGGATCTCAATATTCATTATAAAAACCTTCATTTATTTCCTTAATAATTTTTTATTATGATTGCTCCATCCTCAGTTTTACCCTCCAGAATATTTCTGGTCTTCTGGCAGATAGAGGAGATGTAGTTGCCTGAGTCCTTGGAATAGAGGAGAGTATCTGGAGAGCTAAGTCCTACTTACACAGACATTCAGCCAGTGTGCTTTTTTCATTCCCATTTTACACCCTCAATTCCAAAAACCTTTTAGTACAAATTTCTGAGTTTTTAAGGTATATATTGTATAGATTTGGGTTGCTTCTCAATTTTTTCACTGCAAACTCAGGATTCCACTTTCTCAGGACTGCTTAATCAGTTGTCACTTGTCTACTTTCCTGTACCCAGAAAGTAGATGGTGTTTTCTCCTCTTCTGTTCTCTTTGACTCTAAAAATTATATCCTAAATCTCTTTATTATTTTGGTGGCATTTCAGAAGGGAAAGTAATAAATTGTGAATCCAAACTGTCATGTTTACTTGGAGTCAGGAAAAAACTATAAAACCTAAATTTTATATGCTCATATAGGAACTATAAATGATAGTTTTTCTTTGTCTTCTGTTACATTTTAGGATGAGATCCCCACGGGAATGCCATGCCTGGAGTCAGTGACCATAGGTGATGATATTTGGGATGAGAACTGGTTACCTCTACAGGCTAAGATGGGAAAAGGAGGTGATGCTGCCTCCCATCTATTTACTGCAAGTGTTGATGGAAAGAATCAGTATTCATCACGTAAAGAAATGCCACAGAAGGTTAGATCCTAGGAAAAATAGAAAGCAAATCAGGCTGGGCAATGCAGCTCAAGCCTGTAATCCTAGCAGTTGGGGAGGCCAAGGCAGGTGGATCACTTGAGCTCAGGAGTTCATGACCAGCCTGGGCAACATGGTGAGACCCTGTCTCTACTAAAAATAGCCAGGTGTGGTGGTGTGCACCTGTGCTCCCAGCTACTTGGGAGGTTGAGGTGGGAGGATCAGTGCTTGAGCCTGGGAGCTGGAGGTTGCAATGAGCCAAGATCATGTCGCTACATTCCACCAGCTTGGGTGAGAGAATAACACCCTATCTCCAAAAAAATTATAAAAAAAAAAAAAAGGAAAAGAAAGCAAATCAGTACTGAGAAAAGGAAATTTAAATTTAATTGTCTAGGTCTCAAGAAATCTATATATTCTGGAATTCAAAAGTATTTATCAGACCATCATTCAAAGAATACATGATTTTAAAAAATGGTAGTAGCATTTAGGGGGACAGAGGTTTCATCATGGGACAATAAACCATAGACCAATTTTTGCATATCTGCCCTTTTAATCATTGTGATTTTTATTTTATCATTGGCCCCTAGTCAAGGCCCTTAGGATCTATAAATAAATTAAAGAAACCATTTTCTCTAATTTTACTTTTGTTGCTTTAGCCTTGTAATATAACCTCTGGATTTCTGGAGTCAGCATATTTGCTAATATTAGGTCTAACTATGTATATATATAATTTATTTCCCACTGGCTATAATAGTAAGTATCTGAAATTATGTTGCTCCTTCCTGTTTGTGCTATTTAAATACTAGATGATCATGAAAAAATCATCTAGCCATGAAAAAGATATTAAAGAAAACACTACAAAAATAGTTGTATTTATTTTTGAGATCCATGTGTTCAGAGTTCAAGATACTGGGTATGGACCAATAGAGCAAGGAGGAAAGTCACACTGATACAGAAAGTTAATAAATACCTGTTTGTTTAATATGTGTTGCTTTCATGCATTTATCTTGCCCAAGTTATCCTCTTTTTGGATCATGGGCACTTTATCTCAGTTTACGTTGCCATTTTTTCATTATAGGACTGGTGTTTTTCTATCCCCAAAGATACATGGGATGATTCTTGGCAGCCTTCAGGCCTTGTAAATGGAACGAAAGTAGTTCATAAACCAGAAGTACTGAGTGCTCAGCAAAAAAATACTGGCACAAACAGGACTCAAAAGGTAAATGTCTAATGCAGGTTATTGGGACAGGTTTGCATAAGGAAGTCCTTTCATTTTTAGAAAGCAAAATTGTCTCAATTTACATAGTTTGATATTGCCTATCTCTTAACAGGTTGCTGTAGCTATTACTGTTGATAAATTTGACTTTTTGGGCTTTGTACTAGAGTTATGAGTGGATTTGCATCCCAGAATACTTGTGGTTAATGACCTCTCTCAGCAGTTGTAGAATACATATACATAAAATATAGGTTGATTTAAAAATGAAAACATAATTCCTTATTGCTTCAGAAGAGAATCCTGAGCCTAGAAATTTTAAAATGATTAAACCTCTCTTAGAGATAGAGAAAACTGGGATTTTCCTGTAACTTAGTCATAATTTTAAGCTCTGTGTCTGTTGCATAATATAGACTAGTTTCTTCTTTCACATTGCTTTGGCAGAAAGCGGTAATCCTGGCATAGAATATTTGTTTCAGGTTTCCTGAATATATTACGAGCATCCTGAAAACAGCAGGACAATTTGTGTGAATCATGAAATTTGGCTGCCAGACCTCTTTACTTTTTGTGTTACATTGAAAATAAAGAGCTTAAGTCTAGAAGACTTGTTGAAAAGCAAATCTAGGGAGGAAGAACCTTCTAAGTGACACATTTCCTTCAGACTATGGTTACATTGTATGACAATAATAAAGTCATTCTGTATTTCATAGAATGGTCTCTTCCAGAAATGTAGCTTAATGCATGAATTTAGTTTTAGGATAAAGTAGGCTTTTATATTTTGTTTTTCAGGTTTTTTTAAAAATACAGCTTTATTGAAATATAATTGATATACCATTATAATTTGCTAAAGTGCACAATTCAATGTTTTTAGGATACACAGCTGTGCAGCTATCACTACAGTCTATTTTAGCATATTTTCATCACCCTCTCAAAAAAACCCACCCATGACCATTAGCAGTCATACTCCTTCCCCTTCCTCTCACAGCCTTAGGCAGCTACTTACTGATCTGCTTTCTGTCTCTACAGATTTGTCTGTTAAAAGGCACACAGTATGTGCTTTTCTGTGATTGTCTTTCACCTAGCATTAATAATGTCTTCAAAATTCATCCTTGTTGTAGCATGAACCAGTACTTCATTCTCTTCTATGGCTGAATAATATTCCCTTCTGTGATATACCACATCTTGTTTATCCATTCATCAATTGGTGGGAATTTGGGCTGCTTTCACATTTTGGCTATTATGCTGCTAGGAATGTTCAAGTACAAAGTTTTGTGTGAACACGTTTTAGTTTTTCTTAGGTATATAACTAGGAGTGGAGTTTCTGGATCATACGGTATTTCTGCTTTTAACATTTTATGGAACTGGCCTACTGTTTTTCAAAGTGGCTGCAACATTTTATGTTCCCCCCAGCCATGTATGAGGGTTCCAGTTCTCCATATCTTCACCAACACTTATTGCCTGTTCTTTTGATTATGGCCATGCTAGTGGATATGAAGGGTGTCTCATTATGGTTTTTACTTCCATATCCCTGATGGCTAATGATGTTGGGTGTCTTTTCATGTGCTTATTGGCAATTTATCTTCTCTGACAAGATATTCAGATCCTTTGCCCATTTTAAAAGTAGGTTGTCTTTTGTTATTTGGATATAAGAAAATATCATATTACAAGTCCCTTATCAGATACATTATTTTCAAATTTTCTACTCTTCTGTTTTTCTTTTTCACTTAATGGTGTCCGTTGCAGCAAAAAAGGTTTTTTTTTGTTTGTTTTTTTCATTTTTTCTTTTTTAAGTAAAATCCAATAGATTTTTTTATTTGGTTGTTTGAGCTCTTGGTATCCCCTAATAAGCCATTGTCTGACCCAAAGTTACAAAGATTTACACCTGTGTTTTCACCTAAGCATTTTATAATTTTAACTCTTACATTTAGGTTTTGATCCATTTTGAGTTAATTTGTTATGGTGTGAGATAGGGTCCAACTTTATTCTTTTGCATGTGGACATTCAGCTGTATCAGGACTAGTTGTTGAAAGGATGATTCTTTCCCCATGAATTGTCTTGGCATGCTTATTGAAAATCAGCTGACATAAATGATTGGGTTTATTTCTGGACTCTCAATCCTATTCTCTATGTGTCTGTTCCTATACCAGTGTCACATTGTCTTGATTACTCTAGCTGTTTAATAAGTTTTGAAATCAGGAAATCTGAGTCTTCAAACTTTTTCTGTCATGTAGTTTTATACTATTACTTTATACCCCATGAAGAGAATTTACAATGTTAAAATCTTTATCATAATGAACTTCTTAAGGTGTATTTCTTAAGAAAGTTTTCTTGGCCGGGCGCGGTGGCTCAAGCCTGTAATCCCAGCACTTTGGGAGGCCGAGACGGGCGGATCACGAGGTCAAGAGATCGAGACCATCCTGGCTAACACGGTGAAACCCCGTCTCTACTTAAAAAAATACAAAAAACTAGCCCGGCGAGGTGGCGGGCGCCTGTAGTCCCAGCTACTCGGGAGGCTGAGGCAGGAGAATGGCGTAAACCCGGGAGGCGGAGCTTGCAGTGAGCTGAGATCCGGCCACTGCGCTCCAGCCTGGGGTCCGCGATAGAGCGAGACTCCGTCTCAAAAAAAAAGTTTTCTTTTTCTACCCCTTTTTCTATTCCTATTCTAAAGCAACCTGTACTTACTATGCAGGTTGAATATGCCTTATTCAAAAGGCTTGGGACTGGAAGTATGCTTAGGATATAGTCCTCTCCTGCTGTCTGTATCTTCGACCTCTTTCTACTGGAGTGTTCTCATAAGCATTTAAACATATTAATGTACCTTCCATCTAAACAAAATTTAAGCATTATAAATTTTTTAAAACCCACAGTCCTCTCTAGTTACCACACTTGTTTTTCATCCCCTATGTAGACAAACATGTTTTGCCTTTGAAAATTATAAAAGTACTACATATGCAGGATTTTAAAATTCAAGTAGTTCTGAAAGTTATGGAAATAAGATATCCTTGCCTCTTCTAATCCAACTCCGTCATAAGCAGTTTCTTGTGTATCTTTCCGAGAAACTAAACACATACATGAGAACATAATACACATACCATTCAGCACCTTTCCATATGAGTACTTACAAACCTACCTCATTGCTTTAAACTCCGGCAGAGTATGGATATGCCATGCTGATTTAAATAGTTCTGATGAATATCTTGTTTTTAAGATTTCGTGTGACTGTCAACAATACTACAGTGATTATCCTTCAAGTCACCATCTGTTCCCATGTTGCTAAATTAGGTGGGCATGTTTTAACCTTACAGTACCTGATTGCTCAGCAATATTTGAAAGTAACCTTGCATTCCTCCTTGAAACATAATCTTCCTTTGGCTTTTGTGATGCCGTGATCTTTTTTCCCCACCTCCCAAGGTACTTTCTAGGCTTGCTCCCTGTGATGTCTCCCAGAGTTCTGCCCTATGCCATTTTCTTACTCGTTGCCATGTTATTTATTTTGGTATGTAACTAGATAAACATATTGTAACCCTATGTTTAACATTTTGAGGAACTACCAGGATATTTTCCAGAGCAGCGGTGCCATTTTACATTCCTACCAGCAATTTAAGAGTACTCCAGTTTGTCCATGTCAACACTTGCTGTTCTTGCCAATGATTATAGTCATCTGTCTTTTTTATTATAGCCATTCTAGTGGATGTGAAGTGATTTGGGGCATTTGTTCATGTTATGAAACATGTTTCATAAATCATGAACATGTTTGTTGAGACTAATATGTAGTTCCATTATGGTGTATTTCCAAACAACTGTGAGGGAATCAGTCATTTATAACTACAGAAGAATAAATATGGTAGAGCAGTGCTTCTCAAACTATAATGTGCATACAGGTCACCTGGGAATCTTGTTAAAATGCAGATTCTTATCCAGCATGTCTGGGGTAGGGATCAAAGCTCTTCGTGTCTAGCAGGCTTCCAACTAATGCTGATGTTGCTGAGTGAACACCACTTTTGAGTAGTAAGGCTCTAGATTACTCTTAGAAGGGAAAGACTTATTGTCAACTAATTGCCTAAATTTACTACACATACTTGCTTTCAAATGTCATACAAATTTAGAGTGAAATTCAAAGTGAAAGCTATCAGGATGCATTTAAATATGTGTCAACAGTGCATCTTTCTTAAATCATATTTGTCAAGAAAGAAGATACAGCTTTTTAAAAATGTTTCTATATATTATCTATTACACAGCAAAACATAGGCAGTAGGGCATAATGTAAAAAGCACTGTTCTGTGAATGCTGTAATCTAGGGCCTAGTCTTTACCCCTGACTAGTAAGTTTAAACAAGTTACCTTTTGTGCCCTGAGTTTGCCCACCTGCAAAGACTGATTTGAACTAGTAATCTCCCCAGCCTAAAAAATTTATATTAATAAATATTGATTTACTTAATTATTATTGTAGTTTATTGAAAGAATTCACTGATTCTCAGCCTCATTTTAAATGAAGATAAAAGGTAGCTCAAGTACACATGTGAATTGCATAAACTATGCAAAAATTTGAGTCCAGATCTTTGGTTTCCTGAAATAACATATTGTATTGCCCAGCATAGCTATCTGGAGTTTCAGAATTTCTTTTTTGCAACCAAAAAAGGTTATACACACAGGCATTTGTATATTATATAATTACATAAGCCACATTCATGCCAACTGTCTTTGAAAGTGAGCTGCTATAGATTTTTGCCACAGAAGGAACATTTGCTGATATTAAATGTGTGATGCATATGAGCCAGAAAAACAAGCCTACATCTGTTTGTACATTTATTGTTTCAGTTTGCTCTAGGCAGATCCCAGATGATAAACCACTTAGTTCAGTTTGTTACAGCTTGGTCCGATGGGGTCCTTTTTACTCATGTTAATGCCAGTTGACATCACCAAAGATGAATGCTATTAAATGACCATAGAGTATACTTACTTCAGCAATGACTATATGGTAGGAAATGGGGTCTGTTTCATAATGGTTAAAATTTGGCACTCCCTTCACTTAAGCTCAAGTTCAGTCTCAGTTTGGAAGTTCATCTTTTTCTCTCAAACTTTGGCCTTTTTGTCCCTTCTGAGGAGCATGCAGCTCTTGCCTCCTTTCATGGCTAGCTGCACACACACAGTTTCCCTGACTGAGGACTGAGTGCCCCTTAGGGACGGGGATCCTATCTGACGGGGAGGTGGCATGGTAGAGCACAGAGAACATAGACTGGCCTCAGTTCAGATCTACACCCTGCCATTTACTGATGGACGTTGGATAACTTAACCACTCTGTAAAAGCATTATGCTAAGTGAAAGAAGACGTAGTAGCACCTACCTAGGACACCTGTTCTGATGTTCAAATGAAGAAACACATGCAGATAAGCTAGCACTGCGCCCGACACGGGGTGCTCAGTGAACGTCACTTCTCTCGTGCCCTGCCCCCCTTTCCCAGCCTGTGTATGGTAGCACTCAGTGCCCTGTTTGCTTATGGGATGTGTTCCATAAATGTTTCTTGAATTAAATTTATGTTCATTAAGATAGAGACGGACTCGCTTTTTCTAGAGAGTATCTAGGTTCTTGAAAGTGGGTAGTTTTATTTATTAATTATAATATGGAAATATTTGTATTTTGCTTATAAGTAAGGAAATAGGGCTTAATTCTTATACTAACATTTTTCATGCTTTTGCCCCATTTTTCCCATTCTGCAGCAACTAGACATAAATGGTTCTTCAGATTCTTCCACACTGCCCAAATTGGAAGAATTCTATACCTCTCTTACCCAGTCAGAGGACCAGAGCCAGTCCGAACCCAACAACAGTCAGACTCAGCCAAAGCAAATTCAGCTTTCTACAGCAGTAGTACCCCGTTCAACTCCTGCAGTGGATGATTCTGCAGAAAAGCCCTCTGGTTCTGGTATGTTTCTGTGTACTTGTGCATGCTCACAGTTGACAAACATGATGGTTTGCCATGTTGCTAAAAAAAAACCTTCATTTATCCCTTGCAAAATATGTCTTGAAACATTACTGACCCTAGCGTTTGTGTTAAGTCCTTGTTTTATGTTTGGGCTCAATTGTTCCTTTAACTTTGCCACTCTTCTTTTTTTCCGCACATTTTTTTGGGGTGGGGGGTCCCATTTGTATAGAGTAAAATTTTCTGGCTGTAAAGTGTATAGTTCTTTGAGTTTTGACAAATGGATAGTCTTGTCATCACAGCCATAATCATGATAACATTTCCATCAGCCTGAAAAGTTTCCTTGTGCCCCTTTGCAGTCAGTCCCGTTGCCTGCTTACTGGCTTCTGGCATGTCACTTTCCCTTTTCTAGAATTTCATATAAATGGAATAATACATAGTTTTTATGTCTGGCTGGCTTCTTTCACTTACCGTAATATTTTAGAGTTTCATTTATGTTGTGCCAGTATCAGAAAGCTGTTCCTATTTATTTGCTGAATAGTATTCAGTTACATGGATATACCACAATTTACCTGTTTACCAGTTAATGGACACCTATATTGTTTCCAGAATTTGACCATTATGAATAAAGCTGCCATGAACATTTGCACACAGCTCTTTGTGTAGAAGTATGTTTTTATTTCTATTAAATATATACATAAAAGGTCGGGCACGGTGGCTCACGCCTGTAATCCCAGCACTTTGGGAGGCTGAGGCAGGTGGATCACGAGGTCAGGGGAGTTCAAAGACCATCCTGGCCAAGATGGTGAAACCCCATCTCTACTAAAAATACAAAATTAGCTGGACATGATGTCAGGAGCCTGTAATCCCAGCTACTTGGCAGAGGCTGAGACAGGAGAATTGCTTGAACCTGGGCGGCAGAGGTTGCAGTGAGCCGAGATTGCATGACTACACTCCAGCCTGGGTGACAGAGTGGAAACTCCGTCTCAAAAAAAAAAAAAATTATATATATATGTATACACACACATAGGAGTGGATTTGCTAGGTCATACAGTAACTGCATAGTTTAACTTTAAGAAGCTGCCACACGTTTTCTAAAGTGATTTCACCATTTGCAATCCCCACAGCAAGGAATAAAAGTTTCAAGCACTCCACATCCTTGTCAACAGATGTTATTGTTGATCTTTTTCTTTTTTTAATTTTCACATATTTGGTTTTTTTATTATACTTTGAGTTCTTAGGGTCTATGTGTACAAGGTGCAGGATTGTTACATATGTATACATGTGCCCATGTTGGGTGTGCTGCCACCGCTTAACTCATCATTTACATTAGGTATATCTTCTAATGCTAATCCCTCCCCGCTCTCCCCCCCTCATGCGGCACCGGTGTTGATTTCCCTGCCCTGTGTCCAGTGTTCTCATTGTTCAGTTTCGCACCTGTGAGTGAAGATGCACTGTTTGGTTTTCTGTCCTTGCAGTAGTTTGCTGAGAATGATGGTTTCAGCTTCGTCCATGTCCCTACAAAGGATATGAACTCATCCCTTTTTTATGGCTGCACAGTATTCTATGGTGTATATATGCCACATTTTCTTAATCCAGTCTATCATTGATGGACATTTGGGTTGGTTCCAAAGTCTTGCTGTTGTGAATAGTGGCCGCAATAAACATACATGTGCATGTGTCTTTATAACAGCATGGTTTATAATCCTTTGGGTATATGCCCAGTAATGGAATGGCCTGGGTCAAATGGTATTTATAGTTCTAGAGCCTTGAGGAATCGCCACACTGTCTTCCACAATGGTTGACTAGTTTACAGTCCCACCTAACAGTGTAAAAGTGTTCATATTTTCCACATCCTCTCCAGCACCTATTGTTTCCTGACTTTTTAATGATCGCCATTCTAACTGTGCGTGAGATGGTATCTCATTGTGGTTTTGATTTGCGTTTCTCTGATGACCAGTGATGATGAGCATTTTTTCATGTGTTGTTGGCTGCATAAATGTCTTGGTCATGAAGTCCTTGCCTAGGCCAATGGCCTGAATGGTATTGCCTAGGTTTTCTTCTAGGGTTTTTATGGTTTTAGGTCTAACATTTAAGTCGTTAATCCATCTTGAATTAATTTTTGTATAAGTATAAGGAAGGGATCCAGTTTCAGCTTTCTTACATATGGCTAGTCAGTTTTCCCAGACACCATTATTAATTAGGGAAACCTTTCCCATTTCTTGTTTTTGTCAGGTTTGTCAAAGAATCCGATGGTTGTGGATGTGTGGTATTATTTCTGAGGGCTCTATTCTGTTTGTTCCATTGCTCTACACACCTCTGTTTTGGTCCGTACTAGGCTGTTTTGGTTACTGTGCCCTTGTATAGTATAGATAGTATAGTCAGGTAGCATGATACCTCCAGCTTTGTTCTTTTGGCTTAGAATTGTCTTGGCACTGTGGGCTCTTTTTGGTTCCATATGAACTTTAAAGTAGTTTTTTCAAGTTCTGTGAAGAAAGTCATTGGCAGCTTGATGGGACGCGCATTGAATCTATAAATTACCTTGGGCGAGTATGGCCATTTTCACAATATTGTATTCTTCCTATCCATGAGCATGGAATGTTCTTCTATTTGTCTATTTGATTGCGTCTATTTGATTCTTCTCTCTTTTCTTCTTTATTAGTCTTGCTAGCGGTCTATCAATTTTGTTGATCTTTTCAAAAAATCAGCTCCTGGGATTCATTGATTTTTGAAGGATTTTTTGTGTATCTCCTTCAGTTCTGCTCTGATCTTAGTTATTTTCTTGCCTTCTGCTAGCTTTTGAATGTGGTTTGCTCTTGCTTCTCTAGTTCTTTTAATTGTGATGTTAGGTGTCAATTTTAGATCTTTCCTGCTTTCTCTTGTGGCCATTTAGTGCTATAAATTTCCCTCTACACATTGCCTTTAAATGTGTCCCAGAGATTCTGGTATGTTGTGTCTTTGCTTCGTTCTCATTGGTTTCAAAGAACATCTTTATTTCTGCCTTCATTTGTTATGTACCCAGTAGTCATTCAGGAGCAGGTTGTTCAGTTTCCATGTAGCTGAGTGGTTTTGAGTGAGTTTCTTAATCTTGAGTTCTAGTTGATTGCACTGTAGTCTGAGAGACAGTTTGTTAATAATTTCTGTTCTTTTACATTTGCTGAGGAGTGCTTTACTTCCAACTATGTGTCAATTTTGGAATAAGTGCGATGTGGTGCTGAGAAGAATGTATATTGTGTTGATTTGGGGGTGGAGAGTTCTGTAGATGGTCTATTAGGTCCCGCTTGGTGCAGAGCTGAGTTCAATTCCTGGATATCCTTTGTTGACTTTTTTTTTTTTTTTTCTGTTGATCTGTCTAATGTTGACAGTGGGGTGTTAAAGTCTCCCATTATTATTGTGTGGGAGTCTTAAGTCTCTTTGTAGATCTCTAAGGACTTACTTTATGAATCATGGTGCTCTGGTATTGGGGGCATATATATTTAGGATAGTTAGCTCTTCTTGCTGAATTGATCCCTTTACCATTATGTGATGGCCTTCTTGTCTCTTTTGATCTTTGTTGGTTTAAAGTCTGTTTTATCAGAGACTAGGATTGCAACCCCTGCTTTTTTTTTTTATTGTCGATCTTTTTAAATTTTGCCAGTCTCTTGGGTATGTAGTGGTATATTATTGTAGTTTTAATTTGCATTTTCCTGTTTACCACGATGTTCACCATCTTTTTCGTGTCCTTATTTGCCATTCGTGTATCTTCTTTAGCTAAGTGCCTGTTCAAGTAGTTATTCACTTTTAAAATTGGGTTATCTTCTTACCTACTTGTAGAAGTTCTTTATTCTGTACACACATTCTTTGTCAGGTATAAATATTCCTCTAGTCTGTGGCTTGCCTTTTAGTGTCTTTGGAAGAGCAAAAGTTTTCAAGTCCAGTTTAGTGATTTTTTTTTTTCTCTTTACAATTTGAGCTTTGTGTATCTTGTTTAGAAATCTTTAACTCAAATAACTAAGATTTTCTTCTACATTTTCTTATAAAATGTTTCTAGTTTTAAGTCTAAGATCCAATTCAAGTTAATATTTGTATAGGGTATGATGTGAGGATCAATGTTTATTTTGTTTGCATCTGAATGTCCAGTTGTTCCAGCACCATTTGTTGAAAAGACTGTCTCCAGTAAATCGCCTTGATACCTTTGCCAAAAGTCAGTAGACTGTATTTGTGAGGATCTGTTTCTAAAATTTCCATTTTGTACTCTTGGTCTATATGTCTGTCTTTATACTGCTGTCTTAATTACCATGGCTTTATAATAAGTGTTGAAATCATATAATATTAGTCCTCCAACTTTCTTTTTCCCGGGTTGTTGTGCTATTATAGGTCCTTTGATTTTCACATAAATTTTAGAATTAGCTTGTCAATGTCTACACAAAGCCTGCTAAGATTTTGATCTGATTTTTTAATTTAAGTTTGTAGATCAGTTTGAGGAGAATTCTCATCTTAACAATATTAAGTCTATCCACATACTACGTTTTTTGTTTTGCAACAAAATTTTAATTAGAATGTAAGTTGTTCAGTTATAGTGTACTTCTTATGTATAATTTTCATAAAATATTTTGTAAAAACCTAGGATAAATTATATGATTTAAAAATTTTTTAAAATTGTTTTACTTCAGTATGTTTTTGGGGAACAGGTGGTGTTTGGTTACTTGAATAAGTTCTTTAGTGATTTCTGAGATTTTGGTGCTCTCATCACGTGAGTGCTATACACTGTACCCAATGTGTAGTTTTTTTATTCCTCGACACCTCCACCCTTTCCCTTGAGTCCCCAAAATCCAATGTATCATTTTTATGCCTTTGCGTCCTCATAGCTTAGCTCCTACCTATGACTAAGAACATATGATGTTTGGTTTTCCATTCCTGAATTACTTCACTTAGAATAATAGTCTCAAATTCCATCCAGGTTGCTGTATATGCCATTATTTCATGCCTTTTTATGGCTGAGAAGTATTCTATGATGTGGCGTG